TTGGTTTCCCCAAAACTCATGAATTTCTTCTTGGCTTGGGTAGGATTTATTTGCGTTTTCTACAGTGGAATTAAGTTTCCTATAGAAAGTTTTCTCTGCTTGCTCAAAAAGTATATTGTCGCATTTCCGGTTGTTACTAACTTTGTATCTCCTCAGGCGGCCTGAGTAAACAGATAGTTTTTGTTTTAATGTGTCCAGGCATTGTTGAGGTGTGTTGTTTTCTGGATCATATCGTGAGTGTCTTAGAGTGTTAAACTGTATTTCTTCAGCTCTTTTGATGATTTTTCTACTTCTCACTCCTCTTATGTACTCTGTTATTTGTCCAATGTCCCTACGCAGTAATTCGATCTTATTCAGCAGTCGTTTTTCCCAGGGTGCTATTCTGTTACCAGTCCTTCCGATGTTGGTACCCCGTCGTGTTCTGATCTTAATGCCCATAACATTAGCAATTGCTGTTGCTGCACAGTAAATCAGCATATGCAAATATTCCAATGTGTGGGCTTCTGTGATATAATTGGGTAGGACTTCAGTGTTCACAATTTGTAACAGCGCTCCTAGTTTCTTGGAAGAGTTTATTTTTGGTAGCGGTGGTCTGCTAAGTGGGTTTGTTCCACTAAACTCTTGTACGGCGCGCGCCATTTCGTTTGCCAGACTATCGTGCAACTCGTTATTGTCCTGCTGTGTATTATTAGGTTGAGTTTCTTGTATGAGAATCTCAGGAATCTGCTCATTTGGGACTTCATTATGGTCTTGATTCACAACTAGCTCTTGGTTATGAATCTCCCGTTCGACTTCGCGTCTGATGGTGTCGCGTCTATTCTCTGGAATAAGATTGTTTCTTAAAATTACCCGGTATTGATCTGCTACTCTTTGTTCAGATATTATTATTATTATTATTATTATTATTATTATTATTATTATTATTTACAATAGATTTGAGCAGGGGTTGCAAAACCCATATGCCCATGTGACTACAATGTTATATAGTGTACAATTAAATTGTTACATTACAGTAGTTACATATTAAGCACTAACTAACTAAATGAATATACAATAACATAGGTAATAGCAAGTGTTTAGTACAAATTAAATGTTCAACTATGGAACAAAAGGTCATCCAGTTTATTTTTGAAAATATTGACAGATGGAGCATCTATGATCTCAGCCGGAAGGCTATTCCATATCGAGAACACTCGATTACAGAGAAAAAATTGTCTGGTTGTTGTTAAAAAAGTTTCCTTTTTAAACTTAAGTTTGTGGCCACGAAGACGATTGTCATTGTCTATTATGAACATATTCCCCAAATTTCCAAAGTTGTATTTTACTATCCGAAACGTAATAATTAAATCGCCTCGAAGTCGACGTTGTTCAAATGTAGTGAGATTGGCCATATTCAGTCTTTCTGTATACGTAGGTCTTGAGCGACCAAAAGACATCCTGGTGCACTGCCGCTGTACGTTTTCGAGAATATTACGATCGCGCACTAATACTGGACACCAAACAGTTCCGCAATATTCCAGAACTGGACGAATGTACAGTTTATACAGATGAATTGAGCTCATAAATGACATTTTCGCAAACGTTTTATTTAGTAGATATAATTTACTGTTAGCTTTTTTAGAAATATGCAAAATGTGTTCCGACCAACTTAGATTGTTATTAATTATAACGCCTAGATCATTATGCGATTTCACTGTTTTTAACACGCGCCCATTAATAGAGTAAGGAAGACACGGATTATTTTTACCCATGTGAAGAACTACACATTTTTCCACATTAAGAGGCAGCATCCAGGTAGAGCACCATTCCGATATGCAATCAAGGTCATCTTGTAGTAACTGGAAATTTACGGAGGGATCGGAAAATAGCTTCGTGTCATCTGCATAGAAAGCATTGTTGCATTTAATATGAAATTGTAGATCACTTGAGTATGCTATGAATAAGAGTGGGCCCAAAACTGATCCTTGCGGTACCCCACTTAAAACCGTTCTCTCAACTGAGAAAGAGTCCCCAACTCTAACACAAAATTTTCTATCTGTTAAATACGCGTCGATCCATTTCAGTAGTTGACCACGGATACCAAGGTGTTCCAATTTATGTAATAGTCTTCGTTTTGGAACTCTATCGAAAGCTTTAGCAAAATCGAGGTATATAATGTCCACCGGGGCTTTTCTGTCTAATGCTCTTGACCATTCATTGACACACCAGAGAAGATTTGTCATTGTAGAACGTCCTTTGACAAAACCATGCTGCTGTTCTGGTATAACCAGTTCATTTTGCAGAAAATCAGAAATTGTCTCGGCAATAATAGTTTCCATTATCTTAGATATTATAGGTGTTAAGCTGATAGGACGATAGTTATTAGGATCCAGTTTGTTCCCTTTTTTAAAGATCGGTGTTACAGATGCGGTTTTCCATATAGGAGGCAAAATATGTGTGGTGAATGATAGGGACATAATCACATATAGTGGATAAGCTAAAGCATCAGAACATTTCTTTAAAAATAAAGAAGATATTAAGTCGAGACCAGGAGACGAATTATTTTTTAGGCTTTGAAGATGATGTTTAACTTTTTCAGGAGTAATGATTATATTTTCAAGAGAAGAAGAAACTCGTGACGAAGTAATATTAGGGAACTGATAATTAGTGGGTTCAACAGAGAAAACCTTGGAGAAAGTACTGGCGAGAAGTTCGGCATTCTCATAGTTATTTTGGGATATATCCCCATTATCATTTTCCAGTAAAGGTATAGAAACTTTTGTTGTCAACGAAGATCTAATATACTTGTGCAATTTTTTACAGTTATTACTGATGGCTATACTCTCTTCGTAGGCAACACGAGCTTCATGTAAAGATTTCTTTAAATCTCTGGCAAAGTCTCGATGAATTTGTAAATCCTCTATGCGATTTGTACGTCTATATTTGTTCCACAACTTTCTTTTATACTTGATCAGATATATTAATTCCCCATTAATCCAAGGTTTTATGTTATTTTTGTATATGGTTTTTTTGAGGGTATTTTGGTTTTTGCATAAATTAACAACCTGTAAGAACTTATCCCAGAATACAACTGGATTCCTTATGTCGCCGAAAACATCATTCCAATCAATGTCGGTCAGTTGGCGATTTGCATTTTCAAAATCAATTATTTCATATACCGTTTTATTAACATTAGGATTAGGAGTACAGTACTGTAAGTTAAACTGAATATGAAACGTTATGACTGCATGATCTGAGTTACCTACTGGAGAGCTTATTAAGGGATGTGTTAATAAATGGGGATCATTAGAGAATACCAAGTCCAAAATAGATGGTAAATTATTGATTCTGAAACGAGTCGGCTCCGTTATGAATTGATGTAAATTAGAATTTAGTACAAAATCTGTAAATGCGTTTTTGGAAGTTGTTAAGCCACTAGGTGGATCAGTTATAGGCCACGAAATGTCTCTAAAATTAAAGTCTCCAATAACAATTAAATTCTCTAGCCTAGACAGTTCATCAAGTGATGCGATAAGGGACTCATCATCTGCTAATCTAGAATCACCAGGCCGATAAACGCATACTAGGTGAAAAACAAAAGAGTTTTTATGACATATTTTTAAGCCAAGAAGTTCCATATTAGGGACAGTAATATCAAGAGATGTAACAGAGAAATTATTAGTAATTTCTGAAGACAAGTAGATACAAGTTCCTCCTCCACGCCGATTACGACGATCACACCTATAAAGGGAATAATTATCAATGTTATAAAGGGAGTCAGGATCATTTGGTGTTAACCATGTTTCAGTGATAAGAATTATTTGAGGATTTAGGTTTTGAATGTTGCATAAAAATTCATTAAATTTGGAATTTAAAGTAGCTAGATTAGTATAGAAACAGAGCCAATTATGAAAACCTGAAATATCAGAATTAGTGACGAAAGTTTACAATTTTCGGGACACCTTGTATATATTTTATGGTTAAATTTTCCTCTCCATTCGATTTTCTCTGTTCCAGTTCCACTCGAAGTTCTTTTAGGCATTCTATTTGATTTGGAGTCTTATCGTCGATAATGGAAACGTTTTTTAAAGAGACGTTTTGTAAAAGTTTCTTTTTGTTCTTCAAAATATGTTTGGCTTCATGTTCATTTTGCATAATGACCTTTATCATCCTAGGGAAGCGATTGTTTGGTTTTCCAGTCCTGAAAAATGTGACAGGAGTGGAGTTAGACATTACAGTATCTAAAATATTTTTTAATATTCCATCATCGTGACTTTTCTTTGTTTCAATGTCTCCTGTAATTTCGGGTACACCCCTAACAAAAATATTCTTAGCCCGGTTAATGCGATCAACTGCTTCATTTGCTATGGTATCTGTAAATTTTGGAGATGAAGAATGATCCTCAATAGATAACTTGTTTTCGATCTGTAAAAGTCTTTCACTGATATCATTAGCTTTTTGGTCTATTAGATCAATTTTTGATTGAAGATTCTCTTTTAGATCTTTTAAGAGCGTCTTTAAATTAGCAAAGTTTTCGATATTAGAGCAGCAGTTGTTGCAAAGAATTTTAATTCCGCGTAGCTTATGCCTAGTAACGCGATCTTCGGCTCGTAGATCAGTGCAAGCTAAATGTATGTTCTGTTTACTGTATTTAAAATTTCCATTTCTTTATTCATTCTTCTCAGCACTTGTTTGTTTGTGACGTGTTCTGTCCACGATATTTTCAATATTCTTCTGTACACCCACAGCTCGAATGATTACAGTTTTTTCATTGATTTGTCGCATTACAGTCGCATTCAAGTCCAAGTTCCATAAAATAAAGTCGAAAAAACATAGCACCTCGCCAACCTAACTCTTAGTTCCAGTTTTAAATCACTGGTACATAGCACTCTTCTCATTTTGTTGAAATTTGCTCTAGCCTTTTCTATTCTTATCTTGATCTCCTGATTGTAATCATTTGTGATCATTTCATAAGATTCAAAAATATACTACCTACTAAAATTAATTGTACTTTATTACAGGAGCAGTTAAAATTACACCCGCCCATGATTTCAATGACTACGAAGTAGGAAAACGACATTCTTTAGAAAATATACAGGTTATTGATGAAAATGGAAAGTTGACGTTAGAATGTGGAAAATTCTTCGGGCTTCCTAGATTTGATGCAAGGAAAGTCATTACAAACGAGTTACAACATTTGGGATTACTTAGAAGCAGAGAGGAACATCCTATGGTCGTGCCTATATGCAGGTATATTATATTTAGAAAAGTAGGTGAATATCAACATTTTTATTATTTATTTTCTTTTAATCACCTTCACAGATGCGACAGAAGAATCAGATTGGATTATCAAACCTTCTGTCTTCTTTTTCTTCTTCCTTCTTGTATGTAGGCTTTAAAGCCTGTTACTTCTTCAATATTAGCCTCCTAAATTGTTTAAATTATCGCACCATCTTTTTCTTGGTCTGCCAATACTTCTTCGTCCATTTAGTGACTTATATCGTGCTATTCGTACTATCCTATCCTCTGCCATTCTACTAAGGTGTTCGTTCCACTCCTGTTTCCGTTTTGTCACCCATCCATTTATGTCTTCTATATTGAATGCTCTTCTTATGTTTTCGCTTCTCTCAATATCCAACAGACTTTTCCCTGATATTCTTGGGAGTATTTTCATCTCTGTTGTTTCTAGTAGTCGTCTCGTTTTAGATGTGTCAGGTCTTGTCTCTGCCGTGTATGTTAATATAGGTCTGATTGCTGCTTTATAGATTCTTGTTTTTGTGTCTTGTCTTAGGTGTTTGTTCTTTCAGATTGTGTTATTAAGAGATCCCGCAGCTTTACTTGCTTTTAAGCTTTGTTGCCGTACTTCTTCTTCAATATCTCCGTAACTAGTTATATCTATTCCCAGATATCTAAACCTAACTTCCTGCCTACCTTATTTCGTCCATTATTATATTAAAGAGAAGTGGGCTTAACGAGTCACCCTTTCTGACGCCGCTTTGTACTGATATACACTGTGTTAGTTTTCCATTTATCTTTGCCTGTATTCGATTATGAAGTAGATGTTTTTGGATGCGGTCGAAAGCCTTTGTCAGGTCTATAAAACATAAAATTGCTGGTTATTGTACTCGATGGCCCTTTCTGTGATTTGTCTTAGTACAAATACGGCGCTTACGCAGGATCATCCGGATCTGAATTCTTGTTGTTCATCTGATAAAGTTGTTAGTTTATTGATTTTGTTGGTTAGGACTTTTGTGGTAAGCTTAAGTGCGGTGTTCAGTAGATTTATACCTCTATAATTGTTGCGGTCTTCTTTACCTTCTTTCTTGAACATTGGTATCATTATGCTGTTTCTCCATGCGTCTGGTATCTTGCAGTGCAATATTAGTTTTTGTATAAGTTTTGTCATCTTAGGGTTATACTTTCTCCTCCGTGTTTTAGAAACTTGTTGGTTATTCAGTCTGGTCCTGGTGACTTTCTATTTTTGAGTGAATTTATGGCTATCTCTACTTCCTGAAAACTGATTTCTATTTCGTGTCTTAATTCATTTTCCTTTCCTTTAAACAGTTTCGTCAGGTATCTTTCCCATTCGTTTGCTGGTATGTTATTGTATTCTTTCAATTCTGCCATTTCTGTCCGTTGGTTTCTTATGAATCTCCATATTTGCTTTTGTGTACCGTAGAAGTCGCTTTCCATCCATTTTGTAAACTGTTCCAAGTGTTCAAACCTTCTGTTACTCTAATTAATTACTGATGCTCGTAATAATATTTTACTTTTGGTTTAATAATACTTCTGTATTAAAATAATATAATTAATACTTGAAATAAATGATTTTTTTAGCCGTTCTAAGGACATCGTCGAATTTTTAATACGTCCACAATGGTTTCTAAAATGCGATTCGATGGCCGCAGAAGCCATTCGAAATGTAAAAGAAGGCAAACTGTCAATTGATCCAAAAATGATGGAGAAAACATGGTTTACATGGTTAGAAAATATAAGGTAAGCATTGTTTATAAACGATACCAAAAACTTTTCTTCGAATATTCCCTATCAATACATCCTATCTTTCGAAAACTCCCTATCCGTTGGTCTTCGGACCTTCTTAAATAAGTGCTAAAATTGTTGGATGTAAAATCTAGACGGTCTTACTGCTGTTATTGATTTAGCTATGAAAAATATATCAGCTATTTAATAAACAAGGATGTCTTAGGAAACTAGGTTTAGTAATTTTAGAAGATGTAACATTTATAAACCAAATCCAGAAGAAAACAGTCACATTAAAAGAAATAGCTAAAGTAGGACTTAGAATAAGTGAGAAAAAATTAAATTTATTGCCAACAAAACTGAAGTGGAGATAAATATGCAAAGAAGGATATAAAATAAGTTGAAGTATTTTATTATGTGGAAGTTGAATTGACAGAATAGCTCATACGAGTGTAGAGATGTAGATATCTACAGGAGAATTATATAAGCACAAAATGAATTTGATATATGAAGGAATATATCGAAATGAAGATATATAACAACTAGTCAATGCTGTGATTATTCCAGACAATTTATGGAGCTGACACCTAGACAACCAACAAACAAATAATAAAAAGGTGAAAATATTTATAAATAAATGCTTGCGCAGAATTAATCAGATATTTTGACCCTAAAATATGCCTAGGAAATGAATAGGAAATATAACAAGAAGAAATAATAGAGAATAACTATTAAAAGAGAAGTATTTTTAGAGTTTAAAAGTAAAACTATTTTAGAGCGAAATCAAGAATATACCGCATGACTGGAAAACATAGATAGATCTGGTTAATAAGATGCATTGGTAGAGTTATACATTGATATGCAAAACTAGTAATCTTGAAATCTAACACTACCAGCTATTGAAACACCTGCAAGGTGCTTTTTTTAGGAGCTGTAGATCAAACAGAGGTAAGACCATGATGTTTAAGGTAGGATATAAAGTTTTACTTTTTAGACTGTTAAACATCGAAAAATGTCTTATCTGGGACATATAGTAAGGGGAAGTCGATATAAATATTAAACTGATCTTAAAGGCGAAATGAGGGCCGTAGAGGTGTAGGAAGAAAACAAGTTTCTTAGTTAAAAAACATTCGTGAATGGATTCACATACCAAATGCAGGACAATTATTCCAGATTGCAGAAGATCGAGAAGCCTTGGCAATGGTGATCGCCAACGTTGGATAGTTCTGATATGGCACGCAAGAAGAAGATAAACTTTTACCGTAATTTTGCGTAAAATAATCACAAAAATACGTTTGTGTACTTGTGGACGTGTAAGTATGGAACATACTTACACGTTCTTTAAAGCAGGGTCCAAAAACTGAGTCTCAAAAATTGAGAAAGACAACTTGACAACTTGAAATTAGTACCTAAATAAATCCTCTACAGAGTCAAATATTCTGCAACATTGAATAATACGCATGTGATGTCATGTTCATCTAACTGGTATTTAAAATATAATGTAATAAAATTTAAACGTAGATAAATTTAAAAATATTTTTAAATGAATTCTTCAGTACCTGATTTTTATACCAACTGGATATTAACACTTGATCTTCAAAAGCCTGTTAATTCTGTTAAGTTGACTACAGTAAAACCTCCCTTAACCGAAACCTTTTTAACCGAAACATCGTTTAACCGAAACGGCTGACAGTTTAAATAATTTCGTCAATAAAAAGTAATATTTTATCGCAAAATGTAAACAATTCCATTAATTTCACTTACCGATTGATGCCTATGTGTGTTGGAAAATCAAAACAACCAAAAGCTCTAAAAGATATTTGAGAAAAAGCACTTCCAGTTTTTTATAGAAGCCAAAAATGCTCATGGATGTCGACCACTTTATTTTTAGAATGGTTCGAAAATGAATTCGTCCCAAGTGTAAAATCCTTTTTAAAATAAAAAAACCTTCCCATCAAAGCATTGTTGCTTGTTGACAATGCGCCAACCACCCTCAAAATCTATGCAATAGTGATAATTATCAGATTTTGCCACCGAATGTCACGAGCTTAATTCAGCTGTTAGATCAGGGATAGAGACATTCGAGAGACATTATATAGGAGCATTCTTAAGACATCTGTTATTACAGGGGACGAATAAATCCAAAAGTGTTCCTGAAATCCTTAATTGTTCAACAATGAAACATGTTGTTTATCGGCGTGCTGAGTTCTGGGCTAAGATCAAATCTTCAACTTTGGAAAAATGCTGGAACTAACTTTTTGATAGGATTTTGATCGACGATCCTGAAGAAGAAATTGGTAAAGAAACGACAGAAGAAATTAAACCTTTAATAAAAAATTTGCCGGAATGTGACGAAATTAACTAAGAAGAGATACGTGAGTGGTTAGCAGCCGATGACTCAGAAAGTGAATTCATCGACCAGGTCATCATTGATATGGTTCTTCATCCAGAAAACCTGAGCGTATCAGACGACGAAGATGACGACCCAACAGACAACAGGTAGCATGAGACCGCCGATGAGATTTCAATGCCTTAAGGAAAAGAATTTTATACAGTAGGCCTAATTAATTAGGGACACGAGTAGGTTCTTAATTTTTGTTGTCATTGTATAAAGTTTTGTCCTTTGAAATTGCTTTACGTTTTGTCTAACGATGAAATGAGGCAAACTGACGACGTTCTGCAAATTAACGATAGAGATATATAGTTGCAAAACATCGTTGTCAAACGATAACGTAAAAGAAAATAGAAGATTTCTTTAAAAAATCATGTTAAACTTGTTCATTTTCCTTAATTTTAATACTTTATTCTGTATTTACTTATTAGAAAACATTACGAAATCACCGCATAGTATAGTATTTTTTAATACCAATATTTTAACCAAGAATACTAAATGTTAAAAATGTTTAAAAAAACAATGTTATTTTTAACCGAAATTCTTGTTATCCGAAACTCCCTTCCCCCCAATTATTTCGGTTAACGGAGGTTTTACTGTATATCTAATATAGTTTCTACAATCTACAATGTATAATTAATTTATGGTTTTACTATTTTCAAAATATTATGCAAATCTCGTTTCTATTGTATCATAAAAATCAAAAAATATTTACAGAGACTGGTGTATATCCAGACAGCTTTGGTGGGGACATCAAATTCCAGCATATTTGTGTTCGAGTTCAAAGACTGAGGAAACTGTTTGGGTAGCCGCTGAAAGCGCAGAAATCGCTACCCAAAAAGGAGCGTCCAAATTGGGTTTACCGGCCAGCGATGTAAATGTTAAACGAGATGAAGATGTTTTAGATACTTGGTTTTCTTCTGCTCTCTTTCCATTTTCTGTGTTTGGTTGGCCACAAAAGGTAATTTTTTTATTTTTAGTATTGTGCAGATTTTTCATTCATTAATCAGCTTTCTAATTCTGGCCTAGGCTAGTGTTATTTGTTTTTACTATATTTTATCCTTTGTTCAAGAGTAGTCTGAGATTATTCTAGTTTATTATTTCTATTTATGAATGAATGGAAAAGAAAAGTATTTTTGAAGTGTGTAAAATATTTAATTCTAAGGAATTCTTTAGAAATTAAATATTTTTCTTTTCCATTCATTCATTTGTCATAAGTTTATACAAAAACATCAGTCTTTTTTAATTTCCATTTATGTGGTGGTTTTTAACAGTATTACACGTTGTTTTTTATAATAATTCATCCTAATGCTGAAGTTTTCTATTTTTTTATGTAGTTCTAAAAGCTGCTGTTTAACTTTTCTTCAATGTTATGGTTCCATTTGCTATTTCTTTCTTTTGTCAATTTAATGTCTTGGAAACATTGTATTTTTTTTTGCGAACCATATCAGAATTATCCACGTTGGCAATCACTATGGCGACAACTTTAAGGTTTTATGTCATATGGAAAACTTCTGTGTTTCGTCTCTCGGTCCAATCTCAAATGTTTTTTTGGCTAAGAGGCTTGTTTTCTTCCTACATCACTTCGACTTTTTATTTTTACTTTGAGAATCATTTTCAGTATGTTATGTATTTTTTATGTTTCATTTTTCTCAATATGTGACCCAAATAAGTTTTTAGTAATTCTTTATTCTTGGCGGATCTCAACAATACTTCATTATTAGTTATGTGAGGAATCTGTAAGATTTATATAATATTATGTATTCACATATCCACTACTTTGCAATAGTTTTCCAACACTACTAATTGTTTCTACTTTTTACGTCCATGTTTTTATCCCATATTATTCCATGTTATGATGTTGCTTAATATGTGAATTTGTAAACTCTTTCAACTTTATTCCAGTATATTTCAGTATTTCATTTAATTCGGAATGAGCATTTTGGAAGCAGGTTACGTGCACTGTGTTTTGCAGACATGCAAAAGATCGATTACCAATGGAGGAAACTTCAATAATACCAGGATATTCCAATAGAATTCGAAATCTGAATGGATTCTATTTTAAAGTGGGTCAAATAAAACATTTTGACGGTAATCCTTGATTTGCTAATTTGAGGGACTGCATTGTCGGTGTTAATTTTACCTCATTCAAATGCAAGTTGTGAAAGACAATTTTATACTGTCAATTTTATACTGTTAGAAATAATGGTTAAAACTATTATTACAACCAATTTATATAATACAGAAGCTGGTGATGAACTGTTAGAAGTTGAGTTCACATTAACTGAATAGTGAATATTTTTTAAGTTTTTTCTTTTAAATAATTTATTTGTTTATTATATTCATCATTATCATCACGTAGCGCTACAACTCTGGGTGGGTCTTGGCTGACTGTACAATTTTTTTCAATTTGTTCGGTCTTCCATCAACCTAGGGTCAAATGGAATGTTCATTTTCCGGAGATCTGCTTGGATGTTATCTGTCCATCGCATTCTGGGACGTCCAAGTGGTCTTCTGCCTGTGGGAATCTCCTCCTATACCACTTTTACAAGTCTCTCGCATAAAATTTTTCGCATAAGGGATTAGTTTACTAAGAATGATGTTTGAGAGGGTTTTATATGCCGTGTTTAGGAGTGAAATTCCTGTATAATTCGCGCATTTTGTTTTGTTCCCTTTTTTCTAGATGGGCACTATTATGTTTTCCTTCCATCGTGCTGGTATCCTTTCTTCTGACCGTATGTGCGTTATTAGCTGGTGGATTTGGCGATGTAGTGCGTCTCCCCCATATTTTAGAAGTTCTGCTGGTATCTCGTCCGTACCCGGCGCTTTGTGATTTTTCAGCTTATTTAAGGCCTTTTGGGTTTCTTCAAGGAGGGATTTTTGACATGGAATTTCCGCTGTGATATAGATCTCTTCTTTGTGCTGTTCTTTCTGTATAATGTTTAGAAGGTCCCTAAAATACTCTTTCCATTCTTCAGTTACTTCTGTACCATCGATTATCATATGGCCTTGATTGTCTCTCAGTGTATGGATGGTATTGGTTCTATGTCCTCTTTTCTCATAGGAAATTGCTTTATATAATTCTCTGGAGCCTGGTTTGGGCCGGTCTCTCTCCATAGCTTCATATTTTTGTTGTTCATAGTTTCTTTTCTTTGTGCGTATTATTTTTCTTGTTTCTTTTCGGCAGTCGTCATATTCCTTTTTACTTTGGTCTGTTTGCAGTTGTATCCAAGTCTGCCTTACTGTTTGTCTTTTTTCCAGCGGTTTCCGACATTCCTCGTCATACCATGGTTTTGCCCTCTTCTGCCTACTCCTTCCAAAGATCTTGTGGCGTGTTTATTATATTCGTTTGTTTATTTGTTTTCGTTTGTTTCTTTACAAAAATTAAATATTTTTTTCAACTTTGTTAATTTCTTGTTCAATAGAATATACCGTTTCCTACCGTTTAAAGTGCATTAAATTCTTTGCAATACTGTATATAAGGTCTATACTAATATCCGATAGACCCATTATTTGATATAACAAATACCATTAATACCTTTTCATTAATGGTAGATATTACGGATCAGTTCAATATATTTTTAGTACCTTTTAGTTTTATTTAGCGAACATCTGATTGCCCATTTTCCACAATATCAAACAACTTTAAAAAATATATAAACAAAATAAAATGCGAAGCTGTAATAATATTTTTTGTTGTTATTTTAATTTAAATCTCTACTTTTATTTTTAGACACAAGATCTCCAGAAATATTATCCAATATCTTTAATGGAAACGGGCCACGATATTATTTTCTTTTGGGTAGCCAGAATGGTAATGCTTGGAACGAAATTAACTGGACAACTTCCTTTTAATAAAATTTGTCTACATGGTATTGTTTGTGATTCCCAAGGAAGAAAAATGTCCAAAAGTTTAGGAAACGTCATTGACCCACAAGATGTTATCCGTGGTGTTAGTTTAAACGTAGGTAGAAATATTTTTATTTAGCGGGTCTTATAAACGGTATCAATAAGTGACTTTTCAAGGTGTACCAAGTATTTGTTAAGGTCCCAAGGTTAAGTCCACTCCAATAACATATCACCTGATTGTTGATATGGCGTTGGGGTGAAGAGATTTATTCGTATTCTCTCTCTTCTATCTCTCTTCTATTCTCTCATTCTCTCTGTGTATTATACACGCGTTTTTTATCTGTAATGTAATATAACTGTGAGGAATAATGAAAAAGATAACATATAATTTAAAGCTGGCTAGCAGAAGTTGCCGGAGAGTGACTACTTGACACTTAAAAGAAGATTCGACCAATTTGCATGCCCTACAGAGCCCTTAGAATAAGAAAATAAATGACAAGGTAATAAACAACCTATAAATATATAACTAAGATAAATAAAAGTGATTATAGAAGTTGCTCCTAAATTTGAGTGGGCGCCAGGAAAGTATTAACATAAACTTTCCAAGGTATCTTATAAAGCTGTTTGCTGAAATAAAAAAAGGATATAGGTATGAATTAAAATATTTAGTTTTCACCAAAAATTTAATCCCTATCAATATATACAATATAAATTTACCCTAAAATACCCACCACCAATTATGTACAGTTAATCTAGTTACTTATATACAAAAAGAATAAAAATACCCTGGTTACACACAACTGATCCTTGATAATCTGAATTTATAAATTATAAAATATAAGAAAAATGGTAATGATTGACGTAAAAATGTAATTTACTTGCCTCAGAGATGCAACTCTGTACTTTGGCTTCCAATTGTATATTGTAATAAAGTAATAAGGACAATATCCAGAAGGGATAAATTTCCAAAGGTTTAAATATATAATACTAATAAAATCTTAATAAATAACTCTCTGATTAGATGTGTACACATAAAACCATACAACTGAGCTACAAGGGAGGATTTAAAACCTCGACCTGGAATTGACAATTTTAATGCTTACGTTATTTATAATTATTTAGAAAAAATGACGGGTCTTTATTATTAAATGAAATATTAAGATTTATGATTAAAAAAATATATTATAAACAAATTATTAAATTAATGAATAAAACAATATAAAAATGACCAATGTTCCACCCTCTAAATAAGGGAGGTCTTTCGGGCTGGTATCCGGAAGTGGTCCGAGAGTAGTCCGAGAGAGCTCTGGACCTCTGATGGAACAGACGGGCAAATGGGCAAATTCTAAAACGTAACTCTTTTTCTTCGTGTAATATATCCCCAAAATAAATTAAACAAAAGCAAAATCCTTGACCCTGGATTTAACTTCTTGGGGTAGACTAAAAAGAACAATTGTGTTACAATTCCTCCTTACGTTTAAATAAAAAGAAGGGAAAAATACAAGTTTATGAAATAAACTTGAAAAATATGACAAAAAGTTGCTGGGAAGCTTGTATCCAAGAAAAAAGCTGTAATGATTTTGTAGATAATGTGACCTTCGCATTCTGACAATATTTGATGTAAAATAAATTGATCAAATAGATGATTTTAACGAAAAGTTTGCTACGGATATATTTTTGAATATAAAAGAACGGTATGAGGCGGAATATTTTTACAGATAGTCTTAATAGATAATAGATAATTTTAACGATGGATAATTATATGTTTTTAAGGCTGGGAAATAAAATAGAAAATTGATGATGAACAGAATGTTTCTTAATGAAATAATGTGAGAAATGACAGATAGATATTACACTATCGAAGGAAAAATTACGATATAATAGAAGTTAAAATGGCTGATGTTTTTTTTTACACTTTTTATTTATAATTGCATCAACTCACCGACTAGAAGTGGCTTCTAAATCAACGATTATACACTACAAAACAACTAAAAAACTGTCCATATTCTTCCTTCCCCAACAAAATTAATATTCTTTAAAACAAATTTAGCCGTCTTCTGTCGCCTACCCTTTTTCCTGTTAAACGAAGTTGTTTACCAAAAAGTTAAAACCAGAATGAGCGCTAATTGTTAGCCGGATGGTCATGTCGCCGTACAGCGCCGTAGGTGTCGCTGTTTAATACCAACTTAATAAAGAGGATTGGGATTTTAAAATTTTATTTAAATGTTTACGGATTATTAAAGTAACGGACTCGTTACATGATGTCTTTAACTCATCCGCTATCTCGCGTAACTTCAATTTACGATCGGACAAAACGATTTTGTAGACTTTTTTATATTTTCCGGAGCAACTTCTGAATTTGCGAGACCAGAGAGACCATCGACATAGTCTGACTTTAGTTCATTTCTTCGGTATATGTTCGTGTAAAACCACATGTTTTAGCCGTTGCTCTAATACTGGCCCTCCGTACTGAAATATTTTTTCTGATACGTCATTAATCTACGGATTTATATTATTTTTTGGATTTTCTATTATTTCTCAGAGAGTCAGGGATGTCACCTGCGATTTGTGTGCATGTTTAATTGATTTCGAGAAGGCATTTGATAAAGTCCCTTATGGGAAACTAATCGATATCCTAAAAACATCAGGACTCGATGGTAAGGATATAAGACTGATCTCAAACTTATATCTCCAACAAAAAGCAACAGTGCGATTAGAAAATGAACTGTCCGAGATCTTCACAGTCGAAAAAGGAGTTAGACAGGATTGCATATTGTCACCGGCATTATTTAACATATACTCTGAAAACATCTTTAGAGAGGCCTTGGACGAATCAGAAGATAGGATTGATGTAAATGACCAACTTATAAACAACATTAGATATGCAGACGATACAGTGTTGCTGGCAGATAGTGCGTAGGGGCTCCAAAGGATGATGGCTAAAGTTGTAGAAACATAAAAAAACGGCCTAAAACTAAATTGCAAGAGGACAAAAATAATGATCATTAGTAAGAACACCGGCATAAACGCCCAAATTAAAATATGCTATTGGCCTGCAATATTAAGGATACTTGGGATCACAGCTACGAAATAAAAACTCGTATTCAAAAAGCCAGAAGTTCAACAGCCTTAGGAAGATTCTTTGCAACTTATCTTTAAGTATACGCATAAGAATTCTTAGATGTTACGTCTTTATTGTCCTCTATCGAGTAGAAAGTGGAGCCTTACAGAAGATGCCATAAAACGATTGGAGGCATTTGAAATGTGGTGCTACCTACGTATGTTGAGGGTCTCATATATACACCACACAAGTAAAATAACTATTCTCCAGGTAAGAAAGACAAAGAAATTATTAACACCCTAAAAAATAAAAAATGGCTTAGTTCGGCCACATCATGCATAATGATAAATACCGACTTCTACAGGACAAGATTGAGGGTAAGAGAGGCCCTGGACGTAGACGTATATCGTGGCTGGCCAATCTTAGGAAATGGACTGGTCTAACGTCAACTGATCTATTTCGAGCTGCTGTGAATAGAATGGTCAGGGAAAGATGGGTCAATGTGGTCGCCATTTGTTTATGGTAATCGACTTAAACTGCAAATTCCATAGATGGGCCAACTGATATAGGAAGGGGTTCGTACATATCGCCATCGATAATTTGATCTTTTGATATTGCCATACCCTGTACAAGTTAGCAATAATTCTTTTATATTTTTTTTGGAATCTCTAGCCTTTAGTAGTTCTGTCAATCTGCTTAACTTTGTCAAATTCTCTGCTATACCGTCTCGAACTACAGAAAGCATCAAAACATTTCTGCTTTTACGTCTTAGCTTGGTTGTAGCTACTAATAATATCTCCCTCGTTTTCAATGTACTTCTAAATCTATATTGACTACTACTTCTTTTTCATAAAATTATTAATCTCTAGTTTTACCGCTTTTTAGGAAATAAACGCTGTTTCTAAAAGAAGTTATGAAAAAGGAATTTTATCTAAAGAAGAATTTGAAAGATGTATACACAGCCAAAAGAAAATGTTTCCCCAAGGAATTCCTGAATGTGGTTCGGACGCTTTAAGATTTACCTTAGTTTCCCATAATATTAAAAGTATGTATTTTCATTGTTCTTTTATTCTTAAGCTAATTTGATTATTTAAAATAATTTTACATTTGATATGACATACACATTTGGAATTTTATTTCCGGAACATAGGATTTTTAATACAAATACTAAGATTCCCTGATTTGCAATAAACCAGTGTAAATTTTTCGTCGCGATGTTTTATAACTAATTTATTTGTTCCACTGGATTACCTCTCCTCAGCGGTTTGTAGTAGCGTATGTGGCACGCCGACAGTGTTGCTCCGTCTACCGATTTTTCCTGAAAGTCCGGTTTTGTGCACATAATAAATAATGTTTTTTTTGTTTGTGTTCATTAGGTATTATTTGAGTTATAAAATTGATACATTTATTATTCCAAATATTGTTTATAATTTCAAATAAAAATGAGTGTAATATTATTATTTTATTTTTAAAATTCCTTTTTATTTTTAATTTTAGAAATCTACTTTTTTCAAGCCGTTTTGGCAATAAAACATAACCATTTTTTTAGTTATAAAATATTTTAAATTCCATATCTACATTTATAAATAAGTACGTTTTCGTTGAATTGACATGCAATCTAGGTGTGTTCCGTTTTTACACTTACACTGGCAGCATCGCGGCGTGAATTGAGACTCCAGTCGAACAAATGAATTAATTATAAAACATCGCGACGTTCTATTGAAATTTACACTGGTTAATTGCACATCAAAGGATCTGAGTTATTGTATTAAAAATCCTTTGTTCCGTAAATTTCTTTCCAAATCTGTATATTTAACGTAGGCAGATTTTTGAAATTCGGCTTCGTAAACACCATGAGCTTATTAGAGGAGATAAATCGATGAATAATGCTTGCAAACTGGACTTATCAAACACCATAGAAGCTATTTTCCGTACAAGAGAAACAAAGATAATGGTATACAGAACCTTAATACTCCCAGTCCTAGTGTATGGATCTCAGACATGGATGCTTTATACTATGTATTAATATTCGAGAGAAAATTACTCAGAAAAATGTTAAGGTCAGTTAATGATAGCCAAAGCTAAGGATTTAGTACTGAAAGAAAAATTAAGACGCCTACAGTGACCAAGGCGTGGTCAGGTCAACTATGCAATACATATATCGATATCAAACTATCTGCACGAAAAACAAACGAAGAAGTTAGACTTAAGAACTAATTAGACTTATTATATTATATATATATATATATATATATCCGGTTTTTAGGCGTTACGCCCGTCCGGTAGGGATCTATGGAGGAGTATCACCGAGCCGCAAGCCCTTATCTCTTGCCGTACTGCTCCACCATAGGCCGATCAGAACCCAGCATATCCTAGTCTAAGCCGTTAGACTTTTTGTTTTCTGTACACCGAGCTGGGGCTCGACCTACATCCACTAAACCATTCGACAGTGAAGCGAATGAGAGGCAGCCGCACAGCCCGCTGAGCTATCTGACCGACACTAATTAGACTTAATATAGAAAAATAACTGTTGAGAACGATTATAATAGAAAAAAAAAACAGTTATTTGGTTTATTTGCTACGTACCGAAAAGTACTACATTCCTCAATTGATCGTTAAGGGTTAAATAGAGGGTAAACTGGGTATTGAAGGTTAAAATTGTCCTGGCTGAGTATTATCTTCTTTTTCAAAAGATTTTACGTATCAAAATATTTGAATAATTTCAAATTAACCAGTACAAATAGTTTCTTTAAAAGTTTTATAATTATATTCTATTTCCAGATATGTATATAAATTTTGATGTGAGTGAATGTTACACGAATAAACTATTTTGTAACAAAATATGGCAAGCTACCAAATTTACCAAACATTGGTTTGCTGAAGTATCTGGTCGTCAAGAACTAAAAACTGTTGATTTCGATCAATTGGCTGAGGTTGATTATTGGATATTAAGCAAATTGACATTTATGATTGACAAAGTTATTGATGGGATAGAAGATTTCGATTTTTATATTTGTACAAATGCATTAAAGAATTTTTTGTATTTTGAATTTTGTGATATATATTTGGTAAGTAGATTTTATTCAATATTTTCATTTCTATTTTATTATAACTTTTCAGTAAATATTTACATTTGACGTTTTAATTAATGTCATTGATTCACCATCACTAGACTCTGTTTAAAAATTATTGGTACACTACCCGTCATATAAAACTGGTATACTTTTTTTTCCAATGTAAACCTGTGTTCAGACTGGACACAATGGTTCGTGAATGAATTCGTTGTTGTCATCACAGTTAACGGAATTGCGCTAAATCTAAATAAAAAAATAACGTTCAAAAATGTATAGAGTGATTAATAATAATGGAACTATGACAAAATATGAATCTCTCTCTTCAATCCTGACCCCCCAGGGGGAGTGTAGTGGTCGACGTGATGTCGTGTATTGTCCGTCTCCAGAGATCTCTGTCTCTGGTCATTTCTTTTAATTCATGCATAGGTCTTTGGCATATTCCTGTAATTTGATCTATCCATCTTGTTGGGATCTTCCTCGTGATCTTCGGCCTTCTACCTTTCCTTGTATTATGAGTCTTTCCATGTTTTCTGTGTTTGCTCTCATAACATGCCCAAAATATTTAAATATTTTAATTGTTGGAGATGGACTTTACTAGAGAGTCGTTGGCTAACTTTTAGCTCTCTTAAAATTGAATTATTTGTTCTACGGTCGGTCCAAGGAATTCGTAACATTCGTCTCCAACAGAACATTTCAGTGGCGTCTATCTTTCTTCTCTCCGATTGTCTCAGAGTCCAAGATTCACATCCGTAGGCCAGTATTGGGAATATTAAGCAGTTGATCAACCTCATCTTTATCGCTCTTGAAATTTGACAGTCCTTCCATATTTTGGTCATTTTTGCTGTGGCAACTTTTGCTAGATCACATCTACGTTTAATCTCTTCTTGTAATGACCCTGTGTTTGTGATTAATGATCCCAGATATAAGTATGAGCTCAAAATATGAATAGTTAAATGGTTTCGAATTGTAATACATATATTTAAATTCCACACTTGTTCACTGTAAAAGTTATTCATTTTATATTAATTTCACATTAAAATTTTTAATTTTTCCAGTGTGTTTTATTTATTCTAGTATCCCATAACTCAATATGGTTTTGTGCATAATAATTAAAGTCATGTCTATATTATTTATTATCTATCAATATTTTTTTAATTGAAATATTTTCATAAATTATAATAAAATATGAATCAATGTATGGGTACTTAATTAAGATGATGGAAAATTACAAAATTAATAGGAGAATTTTTTGGGATGCATGTTTAAATAAATGTGATCGAAAATGCTCGTTATTGTTTTAGTTTTCAGTATACTAAAAACGTGCGGTCGCACAGCCCTGCTTTTAGCTGATTTGATATATTTTCGTTGAACTGGCAACGTTGCCCTAGAAATTAGAATGAAACATGTGACAAGATCAACTTACACAACTTGAAAAATACGATTTTCGATTATATGAGTTGTACCAGTTTTTTATGATGCAAACGGTACCACATTTTTATGACACAACTGACAATCCCCAATGTTATATCACATAATAAATAACAATCAGAATGCCCACTATCAGATGCCGCCTTTGAAGTATGTCAGCACGCAATCGCCATATTTAAAACGGAAAACACAGGCTCGGATTGAGAAATTTGTGACAAGCTACGACAGAACCGTAATTTAAATTTTAAGAGGTTAATAAGTTTAAGGGGTTAATTTTTCTATTCCTGGATTAACATTTTATACTTGGAGTGTACTGAATTAAAACATAAAATAGTAAAAAAGAACATTTTCTGACAGTTATATACAGTACTAGATATAGATACATACAATATATGATGGATTAGGATTACTTTGGTGAACATAGTCCAAATATTTTTGATAGTGTGAAGTGAACATCATCTAAGATGCAAAATTGCGGTTAAACGACATAGGACCGTCCTATCGTGTTAAATATAATTGCACTGACTTGCTGTTAAATTGGAAATGCAAATATAAGTAATTCTTAACTGCAAAATCAATAAACAACTCATAATGGAATTTATTAATTGAGTAGGAAATTACTAGAATTAAAAAACAAATGTGATTCATAAATGGTTTATTTCAAATTTTCACATAACTAATAAACACAATAATACATATGTGCCGTTAAAAATAGTAAAAATAGGTGTTCGAAATGAAATGAAAGTTTTTTTTACTTTTTATTGATTGTTATAGTTCTATTGATGATTGTTGGTTGTAAAATTAAATTAAACCATTTTTATGATATTGCCACAAGTTAAAATAAATAAATTACTATCTTTGATACTGCCATAAACAATTTCTTTGTTTTGGACATTGAGAGTAGTTGATAATCTTACCTCAATTTTTAGGAAACTACAAAAAGAGGATTACGATCATCTGATAATGCTATTGCATTGGGTCATTTATGGACTTTGTTAACGTGTTTAGACATATCGTTACGAGCTCTAGCACCATTTATGCCAGTTTTAAGTGAACATTTACATTCACGTTTACCAGTATTTCCGGATCAAGAAAAAGTGCTGGAGTGGCCACAGGTTTGTTAAAAATCAATGTAATATATTTGTATCACTTGATAGATGTGGGAGTAAATTAAACTATACTATGATTACCAAATAGTCAGGAAAGATCACATAATCTTTAAATTCACAAAATCTATTCATACACAAAAGTTCTTAAATAACACTCAACAACAAACGCCCGAATCTGCAAAAAAATGGAAATCAGTGCTATAACGAATATTGACGATGACGAATATTGCTCATAATCATGTTCTCGTATAAGCGGAGAATTTTGCTGAGAAATTAAATATAGGCAACCAAGAAGTGACTGACATAAATGACCATAGTGGACGTAGACGATGAGAGGGAGAAAAATAATATACCAACAGAAGAAGTTGCCAAGGCAATAAGAAGGTTAAAAAACAACAAATCCCCTGGAGAAGATGGTATACCCCCAGAGCTGTTCAAGTATGGAGCAAACGTCCTAAAAAATACATAATAAAACTTGTTGCATCCATTTGGAGAGAAGGAAAACTTCCAGGCAGTTGGTATGTAGGTATTATAATACCTATTCACAAGAAAGGGGATCCACCAATATGTGACAACTATCGAGGCATTACCCTAAATACGGCTCACAAAGTACTGGCTTATATACTTTAAGATCGTTTACTAATATATTCCGAAAAGAAAGATCAACAATTGATCATATTTTCCTTCTCAGACAAACCTTTAGAAAAGACATATGAATATGGAATTGATACCCACCACCTCTTCATAGATTTTAAAGCGCTTATGACAGTGAAGACAGAACGCACTTTATAATGCCATGGCAGAACTAGATATTCCGTCGCATCTAATAACATTGGTAAAGGCAACTCTTTCGAAAGTTGAGTGCAAAGTCAAGGTACAAAACAGAGTGTCAAGGTCTTTTCAAACACATACTGGACTACGTCAGGGAGACAGTCTATCGTATCTATTGTTTAACATCGCGCTAGAAAGAGTGCATAGAGAAATCGGACATAGGAACCAGAGGTACGACCATTAATAGAAGTGTACAGATATTGGCTTAGGCAGATGACATTCACTAGTAACTACGGACAAAAAAGAGACCTGATACAGCTTTTGAAACATTAGAAAAAGCCTCGAAGACAATGGGACTTTAGGTCAACGTATCCAAAACAAAATACATGAAGTCACGAACAGCACACAAATAGCGACACCACAAGATCTGGTGACAGAAGCACACACATTCAAAGGGGTCTCGGAGTTTATATATCTTGGAACACAACTAAATAACAGCAATCTAGTAAGCGTAGGAATTAAGAGAAGAATATACCTGGCGAACGGATCTTACTTTGGACAAAAGCAGTTCTTAACATCACACATAATTAGCAGAAAAACCAAGATACTAATATATGAAACTTTTATTAAACCTGTCCTGACATAAATACGCGTCAGAGATATGGACTATGATAAAAAGCGATGAAGAACTGTTAGGCCGCTTTGAAAGAATAGTACTTAGACACATACGAAGAAGTTCAAGAACGTCGGGATATGGCGCAGGCGCTACAAATTTTGTAGTTGTATGAATTGTCCAAATTTACATGTATGACATTCTACTCATGTCGGATAGGCCACAACTGACGAAATGCCCCTGAAGATGATCTATTGATCGAAAGTACTTGGGCAAGATTTAATTAATCGCTGTAGATTTGTAGGTTTGCTTTAAGTCCCTAGTATTCTTCTAAGTTTAATTAAATATGTAATTAAAAATCTTATTTTACGGTTAAAGCAGAACATACCGTACTTGCTAAAATTAATTTTTATTTACATTTCACTTTAAAGGGATATTATCGCATGTTTTGCATTGATAACTGATGTAGAATAGCTTTTGTATTACTCACGTTAATATTAATACTAAATTAGAACTCTTGGTATTAAAAGAACTGTTTAAAAACAGAGTTGAATATAATATTAACGTAAGTATCTATACAGTTCAAAATTTTTATAATTCAGCAAAAAATGCAAGCATGTTTACTCTATTTTTATATTTATTTCAAAAATACACTACTAAAAATATAACAACTCTATTAAAACGAGGGTTTTTTATTACTACACTTGTAATTTGTCCGAATGAATATTAATTGCATAACACAACAATTAAGAAGGAATCACACTAAAATACTTATACACTTAATTCATTCTCTTCCAATGATTTTATCTACAATCGTTGTAGTGGAGTCCAAAAAATATAAAATATTCAACCTTCATAGAATTCTGTAATATTTTTATATTTCAGAAGTTGAACTGGCGTAATGAACATCTTGAAAGAACTGTTGAAGATGTAATGGATATTGTGATAGCACTAAGAAGGTTAAAAAAGACATTTAATATTAGCTCCAAAAGTGAATCAAAAGGTAGGTTTGTAATATTTGGCTTAATTATCATAAAACTTTGTTTTTAACTGTCCAACTGTCAGTACTACCATACATAACAGCAGATCTTACTACAAAATTGTAGTATTTATTTACTTCATGCATCTCTATCAAATTCGTCATTGTTTTGATATAACGATCTTAGACATCTAAAACTATTATATTTTAAATTGGAAAAATACTGTATGACTTGTGCACACTTCTAAAATATGGGTCAAACTGGCAACAGGTGTATGTTCTCAAAAATCTTGATAGTGTGTAAATTTTGTTATTAAAATCAGCTGAGTACTTTTGGCATGTAGCATGCCATCTTCAGAGCTTTGTCTTATAGGTTACAAATACCTCATAGAAGAGTGATTGACGATACAAAACAAAATAAAAAACATTTGAAGACCAACGCCTCTGTTGTAAGGGTCAAAATTCGTTTTAAAAGTTGTAAAAATCTTTTAGATTTTTGTAACTGTCAATGTGACAGCCAGTTAACGAGAAGCTCTAAATTAATCCAGCCATTTTAGAGTGCTTATACAATACTCCTAAAGGTTCAAAGCACCTACTTTTTTCGACAGTTAGTCTAAACAGTTGTAATTCCCTTTTCGTCGATATTAAAAATCCTGCTGGATTAAAATTTATTACCTCTCTACTTATTTTTATAATTATAAATAGTTAATTTAGTTGATTTTGCCAGATATAAAATATGTCAAGTCTCAAGGCAACAAGAACAAAATTCAACAATACCAATATACATATCACAAAGCAAGAGATCTTTTTAACTTAGTTATATTGAAAATATCAAAATCAAGAACATTTAATAGCCCCTTCTATATATCTAATGTGTTGGGAATACCATAGGTTGTTCCGTGGAAAAGAATATTGGAAACATTGTGGCAACGTAGAGCTTGATGGGGAACATTAAAGTTAATATGGTTTAACAGCTTTGGACAATCAGTAAATGTATGTATGATCTTATATATAAATATAGCTCCTGACATATCACGACATTTATTGAGCGAGGGTAAACATAATTGCTGTTCGATAGGGGAATAATTATGATTTTCAATAATAGTGTGAACATGGTAAGCAAAATACCTCAAACTTTTATGCTAGACTCTTCTATGGTATCAATATTGTTCTGAAAATAATGTGACCAAATAACTGAACAGTACTTCAAAATATGTAGTTGTACCTAAGCAACAATACACTAATCTTGTTGAATCAATGGAAAATACTTGCAATTCCTAGTGACGAAACCCAGAAGTTTAGATGCCTTTATTGAAGTAGGGTTTATGTAGTCACAGAAAGGAAACTTCTCATCGAAAATAACACCCAAATCCCGAATAGTAGAAACATAATTTAGTGGCTGATTAATAATAGTATAGCTTGTTTTAATTCTATTGATTTTACGAGAAAAACTTATAAAATAACATTTTTTTACATTTAAGTGAAGCTTGTTCTGATTTGCACGAATTTTGTAGTCGGTCTAAGTTATCTTGCAGCAAGGCTTGATCTTTTAGGCTATCTATAACTTTCAAAAAGTTATCTGCCAACATTAGCATTTGCTATTCAGGAAACAGGAAGCGATGTCGTTAACGAATATTTTCAAAAGAAGTGGAGAAGTGTGGCCTCCTTGTGGAATTCCAGATGTTACTAAGATACTATCAAACAGATGACAACCTATCTTGACTCTTTCACTTCTACCAGATGTAGAGTTTTTAATCCATTCAACAAACCTGATATGAAAGCCTACATTAATTAATTTGCCCAAAAGTATTTGATCATCTACACGATCAAATGTTTTGAAAAAATCTGCATATATTGAATCTACCTGTTAACGGTCTTCCTTTTGAGATAATATATCTGATTGATAGCAAACCAAGTTTATTTCAGTGCAGCTTTTGCTATGAAAACCATGTTTTGATAAAGATATGAAGCCTTTACAGAACCAAGAAATTGCTTTGCTACAAGACAATCTAAGAGATTAGGGATTGCAGATTGTATACAAATGCGACGATAATTTTCAATGTTGTCTTTCTGATGATTTTTAAATATAGAAACAAAATAACTTTATTTCCATGAAGAAGAAAACATAGAGGTTTCCAGAGATATATTAAACAATATAACAAAAAACGTTACAAGGGCACAGACACACTTTGTTAATAAAAAAAATGGGCATTCCATATGGGCCAGCAGTAAGCTTATTGGGCAGCTCATTTATGTCATTAAAAATATCAGTCATGGTAATCTTAGAAGGACAAATATTTGTACTAAAGTTGCTATTTAATGGATGGATAGGTACGTAATGGTTGTTGTTATTTGGTGAATACACAGTTTGAAAAAAGTTCATAAATAATAATAATATATAGCCTAATACAAATGAGCATTTCTTCGCAGCATTAGGAATAATTTTTTTTTAACCATTTGACACAATTTGCATTATTTATTTTATAGTGATAGTGTCCGATTTTCATTCCCGATTTTAACATAGTAAATGCCTTAGACACGAATCTCGGTTCACCTTATGCGTGTCTGATATTAAGCTGTTGACCTTTAGCCAAGGTTGATTTAAACATTTATATTTATCATTGTTCCATGCTTTTGATACGGTATGTAAACCGTGAATGTACGTTTTGTCACAAAAATATACTCGGCGATCCCTGTCATTTGTAGTTTTTTATCTTTCTTAATTATTCAGTTTTGTTTGCTTTAATATTATATTTCTCCATTAAAACTTTTCTATTATTTTCATTTTTTTCCATCTATATCCCAATTTTTTGACCAAATATTTTTAATTCAATGCATGGTAATTAATTTTTGAACAAACATTTTATTTCGTTCATTTATTTTTTTTAAATAAAATTCTCTGCTCATGATGTATATCCATGTTTTTTTAAATATTAAATTAAACCTATTTTTTTTAATTGATGATATAAGGTTGCCTGAGAAAAATGGTTGCAAATTAAAGATGCCAGCTATCAACTATCAAAGATAAAGTCAAATAGAGTTAGCGCGCAACGACACTGATTTGGCAAGTGGTAATATGTATATTATCAATACTATCTATCGAAGCATGCTTTAAAAACTCACACCACTGACACTAGCTATGTCAAACCAGTGGCGTTGGGCGCTAGCACTCTTTTACTTTATCTTTGATACCTCGCGTTTTTAACAGCTGGCAACCCTAATTTGCCACCACTTTTTCTCAGGAAACCTTCATATATCAGCATATTAAAAATATTACCTTTACTTTTATATAAAAATATGCATCGTCGTTATTTAAAAAATAAATGAACGAAATTGTTCTTAAACAATGAATTATCATTAATTGAATTAAAACAAGTTTGATAACTACGTTATGAACCTAGTCATCTTGTAGTGGGATCTCGTACTATGATGACTTCAATAGCATGTCATCAAATAGATGAACTAACAACTAGTCAGAACACTGTCAGAAGAATAGAATTTGTATATCGCACATTAAAAATTACATACTATTTTAAGTTTTTATATTTTTCAGTTCATTTGGTGGATTCTTCAAATCTTCTAAAAAAATATCTAAACATAATCGAAGATCTCACGGGCTTTAAAGATATTAGGCTAGATGGAACTTTACCTGATGAAGTTGTGTCGTGTAGTCTTAAGGACAAAAGTGGAAATACATATATTTATCTGCAGGTATCCGACGAAGTTAAAAAGTCCTTCCAAACTGATTTGCTACAAATTGAGAAGAAGAAGGAAAAAATAAATAAAGAATTGAATAAAATGAACAACATGGTTTCTGGATCGACCTATAAAATTAATGCTTCCTTAGAAAAGCAAGAAATTCACTCGAAAAAGGTAACTATATATATCAAACGAAAGATTATAGGGGCTGTATGCGTATACAGGGTTCTCACATTTTTTTACATCCATTATACATTTTTCAATAAAAGAATAATTAGACTTTCACTATCTTTTGATGTAAATGAGATCAGTGACCTCATGTCAACGTACTTTTTAGGTGAAAATAAAAAAGACATATTATTACCTTAAAATTAGGCACTTCTATAATAGTTGCCTCACAGAGTAAAGTTCTAAAACTACAAATGTCGTGTTGACGCAATAAATAATATTGACTGTTTCTACTTGTCCATTCATTTTTTTTCTTCCTCTAGCGCTATAACTCTCTGTGTGTTTTGGTCTGCTCAACAGTTGATCAAAGATTCTGTTCATGTCCAGTTATTTAGAATCAGCTTCCATCTATTATGCTCGATGTAGTTGTTCAGATAGAAAGGTAGAAACTCTATCACGTAATCTTATCAACTCCAGATTGTGGATATGTGTGTGCAGATATAGAACTGTGCAAGTGATCAAAAATCTGGTGAGATGGAAGTTGTACACATGAAATTACAGGACAAGCTTCGAATCAATAGAAAAATACTGTCAATTGTTAGTTGTGTCGGTATAAAACATGTATTTTTGTTAGCCCTGTAACATAGAGTTTATATTTATCTACTTTCATTAACACTTTTATTACGTTTTATTGACAAAAATAGAAAATTAATCAAAATTTTTTGTTTTAGATATCATCTCTGCAGGAGCAATTAGTACGATTAGAATATTTTCAAAATATTGCAAAAGGATCATAGTATTGTCGAATTTTGTAAATAATAAATTATACAAAAATACTTGGCGGAGTTATGTATACACCTCTTTATAATAACGCTGTTTTATGGATTTCAAACGGTTCTATAACCAATTAGGAGAAATCAAAACAGGTTAGAAAGGGTTCAGTAGCACAAAGACAATAAACACCTACTCTTTTCCAGCTGATGTTTTGATTGTATGTAGTTTAAATTTTAGCTATGAAATTGTTTTTCTTATATTTATAAGAATAAGTTTCCTAAATATATAATGAATTATTCTATTAAAGAATTAAAACCAGTAATAATAAGAAATTAGAAGGTCCTACAGGAATACCAAATGAAATAATTAAAAATGAACCGGAGAAATGATTTTGGATGATACCTAAAGCGTTCGAAGCAGAGCTGAACGAAGAAAATTTATCGACCGAGTGAAGACAAGTATATAGCACATCCATGTATAAGAAAGGTAATCTAACAAATGTAAAAACTATTGAGAAATCTCCTTCTTCGTCTTATGGTGGTTCTTCTGGTGCGGTACGCTATGCAACGTATAGGCGTTCATGCTGGTTGGATTATACGTAAGATTCCACCTTCTGCTCTTCTTATTATTACACTCATGAGTGTCAAACTGTCTGTCTCTGAATCATGAGTGTCAAACGACACTCATGGTTCATTGAGGAATCAGTGTGCTATTTTCTATGGGTAGACTATATGGAAAAATCTTAAGACAAAATTAAAAAAAAAACAAAAGGGAAAATATTGAAGAAGACCAAGTAAGGTTTACTACAGAAACCTCAAGTATATATCATATTTATACAGTAGAACAACTCAAAACTCTCCGTCTGCAGGGCTATTAAATGGATCTAGTAGCTCCATAGAATTGATACCGATCCGAAGCTTGGATAAAGGAGGAGGTAGTCCATAGCTAGGTTAACACCTTATTGATATATTATAAGCCCATACAACTCACAGGAATGGGATTATGCCTTAGAACAGGAAGGCTCGAACGATGATAACCAACGCGAGAAAGAGGATAAGGATTATATGAAAAGCGAGACGGTTGTTAAAATGTAAAATCCTTAAACTGGGTGTGAATAATTTGTCTACTTTAATTTACAACTAATATTTTACTAATATTTATGAGTACGTATGGTTGGTCGGTAGTATAGTAGTTTCCAGCTACTTTCAGTCGAAATCAAAACTTGTCCAATACTTTAAACTGTCCAACTGTCCAATAAAATATTAAATCTACTACACAGTTGGAACTGGAATCAGTGAATCGAGTATACAAAGTAAATATTATTTATTTTATGTGACAGTTTAAATTTTGGCGAAAGCGTTTTTGACGGTCTAAATTTTGGCGGTCTAAATTTTGGCGAGAGCGCGAACACTAAATTTCAATTTTACAAATTCGGCCAAACTGTCGCGAAGAAACTTGATATATTACTAGTTGTATGATTAACATATATTACTTATATTAATACATATATTATATAGCACATCGTCCATATATATTAGTTTAAGTGGCCCTATTTTTTCTTCCAATCGGCGTATTTAACATAATTGTTTTAGCATTATTACTTTTATCTATTCGCATAACGTGACCCACCCATCTTAGACGGTTAATTTTGATGGTTTTCACTATATCTGCGTTACAAAAAAGTCTATAGACTTCGAAATTATATCGCCTGGTCAAAAGACCTGTTTTCGATCCGTAAGTAAGCACTGGGCGTATTATTGTCTTATAAAGTTTGCTGCTCTTGACATACTTCTCGCTCTTAGTTAGGCCTAGGCCATGCCATGCTAGCGGTTAGCCATGCATGTTCTTTTTCTTATTTTCTTTGGACGAGTAAACTGACCATTCTTTCTTTCTTTATTTCGAGTACCAGCAACAAGGGTTACTGCCTGACTTGGTAATGGAAAGTGTGACTTTGCCGAAAGGTGGCCAAAATAACGGTTTTTGTCAAAACCAAAATTATTCTACAGGGAGTCAAACCCAGAAAACCACAGAAACACATATAGCTTCCGGGAAATTTTAAATGACTAACATATATATATATATATATATATATATATATATATATATATAATATATAATATTTATATAACTTATACATAAATATTTTATCGAATGTCAATATTTTGTATTAACTTCGGGCTGTTTGCTTAGACACAAATTAATTTACGTAATCATATTATTATGTAAAACAACATAAGTACAAGTTTATATTTTTATTTTTTGGTAATATATTTATATACAATAATAAATATTGGAGGGATAGTTGTTATTGCCTTCTTCTAATATTTAGTAAAGTACTAAATATAAATTTAGAAACTTGCAGGTGTCACTTTGCAATCAACGTTAGCAGGATAGTCACAATCCTGTGCATCTTGATTCCACAAGGTACCAGAGGGACAAGTAAATTCAATAGCCTGTTCTCGTAGACATTCGTAATATTTGGCGCAATCATCTTTATCTGGTAACAGGGTTCCGTCTTTTTGGCCAACACAAACTGGATCTATAAACAAGATAAACAAATTTTTAATAGTTGTATTTTAAATAATTTTATCACAATTTTTAATAAAATAGATTCGCAATATTTACAAACATCAATTGTATAAAACTAAGTCTCTGACCATATTCAGAATAGACGTTTATTAGTAGACAAAATTTAATTTTTTCTTAAAAACATTTTCAGTGCTCTAAGTTTAATGTTTCTATATAACCAATAAATAAAAACAGCACGAAACAAAAATTACTGTTTTGAGGTGCCACGACCGTTCGGATGAAACACCAATCTGTATTCTATAGAGCACAAAATCAACTAAAATTGTAATGTGGTGTAAAAAGTGGAAAGTTACAATTAACCCCTCCAAATATTTTTTACAGATCTCCTCGCAGTCGAGATGTAGGCGAGAGGAAATCTAGATAGTTCTCTTTGGCAAGAGGCTCGAATTTAGATCCTTGGTGTCCTTATTGGGAGTTCGTTTCAGTAGAACACTCAACTGAAACATCGACACCAACAACATCCTAGACAGGGTAAGAATAAGAGCTAATCTGCATTGTCTGACAAATTTGGAAAAACCACTTCTAAAACTCTGCATATCTACAAAGCATTTATTATAAAAATTATCAAATACAAGGAGTATACGCCGAAGTAACACCATTTTGGCAGCCGAAAGAAAAATCTTGAGGAAATGCATAAGGAAACGTAAAGATTATCCGTCAGTAGTAATCCAACCTCTTGCTAATATCCTTATAATAGAGGACATAATCTAAGGCGAAAGACTGAGCGAGGTTTCATAACGTTCAGATTGATTAGGTTACTGCCAAAAGACCACCTTCCTTATACTTATTTAGTTCTTTTATCTGTCGCGATTTATATTTAGTAATCAACTTCAAAAGATGTTAAAGAAACTATCCATGTGAGGGATACCCAATAAGTTGGTTAAACTTATACGAATGACTCTGGAGGGTTCCAAAGCTATGGTGAGAATACATGGATATATGACGCAGGCCTTTGATATTGAAAATTGGAGTTAGACAAGGGATCACAACACTTTTTATTCTAACTTTAGAAGCTGTTGTTAGAAAACTGAATATAAACGGCTGTATTAATACAATATCAATGCAAATATGCGCATATGCGAATTATGCTGCCATAATAAGCCGCAACAAAAGGGTATTAAGCGAAAAAGTTATAGAACTAAAACGAGAAGCTGCTACGTTTGGTCTATATATAAGTGAAAGCAAAACAAAATATATGGAGTGCACAAAATCGAATTAACATGAGAATCTGAAGGTAGACAACCATACCTACAAATATGCCTTCACTTTTCCCTACCTAGGTTCAATAATAAATGACGACAAAAACATCAGTCAAGAAATAAGTGCTAATAAGTGCTTTTATGCATACAAACACTTAATGAAAAGTAAGTTACTGAATCGTGAGTCTAAGCTTAGAATCTACAAAACAGTAATTAGACCAGTGGTCACATATGGATGTGAAACGTGGACCCTCTCAACTACTGATGAAAATCAACTGAGAATATTTGAGCGCAAAAGACTAAGGAAGATATTTGGACCAAGCCCAATGCAGCGATGGTTCGTGGAGAATTAAAATGAACAACCAGCTGGATGAACTAATGCAGAGCGCAGATATTGTTAGATTTGTAAAGTCACAAAGATTAAACTGGCTTGGTCACCTAGAAAGAATGCCAGATAATCGAGTTGTAAAAGTAGTCCAGAGGTGGAAGCCCCAAGGAAATCGAACAAGAGGAAGGCCCCGTAAACGATGGATAGACGACGTAGAGAGGGATCTTAAAACCATGAACATCAGGCAGTGGCGAAGGAAAGTATCTGACAGGGCAAAATGGAAGATCATTGTTAAGCAGGCCAAGACTCACAAAGGGTTGTAGCGCCATTAGAAGAAGAAGAAGAAGAAGTAAGGTTGTTACCATCATCTGAAGCTAATATTACTTTATTCATTGAATTGTCCAATATTAGTGAAGAAATGCATAGGCTACTATTACAAAGTAAAATAAAAGCAAAACTGCTGTTCCAAATTGTACTTACTTGGGGTAGTTGAAGGTCCAGGTGTGGTTGCTATAAAAAAGATGTAAAATTATTAATAATAATAAGATATAAAATTAAAATTTAGTGGAAATGTTTATAATTATTAGATTTTTTAGATTCAGATAAGTATGATACAATATATGAAAAGTTAATTATTAGCTGCTTATATTTTAAAATTATAAAAACTAGAAAGAAATAGATAAAGTTCAAAAGAACTAAGTGAACGATACAAATTGTGTTATTGAGGGAAAGTAACGGATGGAATAGAGTTCGGATAATTGCCGATAAAAAAATAAATGATATCGTAGTAAAAGTCAATTAGAAAAGCCAGAAAAACTGGATTTTAATATGTTGCGGAAACAAAAATGTATGGATATATGAGTAGATTGGCCAACAAGGATAAAATTAGAAAATATTTTATCAGATTAAGTCTAGGTAGAGTACCGAGTACTAGTTAATGAAAACATAAATACGCAAAGTTAAGATGATTAGGGTACGTTAAACGATAAATTTCCCATTGCTAAGGGAGTAGAAATTACACATATTTTTAACCTGAATTTACTGTGAAAAGTAAAGACAGTAATACTTACTTGTTACTGGAGCACGACCTAAAACAAAAATTAAAAATTAATCATGAATTAATTTTTCGAAAACAAGCTACAGAAATACTGTAAAATATTGTCGTCATAAATTGCATCAACATACTAAGTGACCTGGCTTTGAATTTATGGTAATGAATTCAAACCAGGAACCCCAAACCACGAATTCATAGTAAAATTAAATAACAAAAATTTCGAAACAATATATTTGAGAAAAATTTAAATTTCATTAAACAAGATCAAAGCAATACAAAGCCCAATTATTTAGATTGTGTTATACATATAGCAAAATTATATAAACACAGTCTATAATATCAACAAACTTTTAAAATATTGTAACGAAATGCGTACCAATGATGTGGTATATCTTGGTGTCACAATTCTCGAGGATGACTCCAGAACATATGATTGATGATTGACGTGTAAAATTCCCTACTCTAAGATCGATGGCATTACTATAAATGCCATCTTATATAAGGAAATGAGATCTCTCCTTTGTAGTGGTATTTAAAAAATTGACCATAGCTCTGATGATGGCTTTGTAAAGCCGAAAGCGCTCAGCTAGGAATTGCCTAAAATATACACACTTCAAAAATACTTTTTTGCATTTTCTTTCGACTTGTCATAAGTGTGTACAAAAAATATCAGTCTTTTGATTATTAAAATGTTACTTTTACACGAATAACAATCTCAGAAGTATGGAAAATAAAGCAAGTAAAATAAATAATATAATTTTTTACATAAAAAATGACAGATTTATACTTCAGGGGTACTTATTTCAGTGTAACTTGCAGGGGTACTTCAGCAAATTAACTGAAGGGTAAATTTTAAAATATCTGAAATTTTTCAAAAATATTGAGATATTCTGGTCTGTCAATAGCGATATAATGTAAGTTTTATTATTCAAAATAAAAAAAAAAACAAATACTTACTACAGTCAACTTCGTCAGGGAAATCACAGTAGTTTTTGATATGATTCCATAATCTATTGGAGGGACAAGTTTCAAGATATCTGAGTCCGTGGTCACATTCGTAATATTGCGAGCAATTACCAGGAACGTAATCGTAGGTAATTACGTCAGAGGGATAAGGGCAGTGAGGATCTGGAGTAAAATCTAAAAAAATATTATTTTTAAAAACATGCCTTTGCTAAATGTAAATAATATTACTTTTTACTTTTCTTTATCATATAACTTACTATCAAGTGATTACAATCTGTTTTAGGAAACATCTTTTTTGATAGTTTGATCCATAGTTTGACCCAGTATTGTCGACAAAGTCTTGGCTGCTTACATTTGCATATCTCATGTAGATTTTTACCCATCCAGGTGCGCATTTTTTCGTCCTTAGAAGTATGATTTATGCATATTTCTAAATCGCTTAGTTTAAGTGGTGTTGTATCATCTACTGCGCAAATTACGCGATGTAAAGTAAATGTCTCAGCCTGCATCCGAATAGAAGTTCTTAAATTAGCAATCCGTTTTTTAAATTGCTCACATATATCCATAAGTCCTCTTCCTCATAAATACAGCGGTAATATCGTTCTTTCTACTGTACTACGAGGAAGGAGTATTTGTGCCTTTGTGAGGTGTGTTCGTACTTTTCGCTGAAGATGTTCTATATCCGTTTAAAATGTTTAGTGTTTAAAATATAAACGAAGCCGTTTTTATCCAAACCGTGTTAACTCTGAAGTTAATTCAATTTTAATTTGGTTATGGTCAATTTTCCGCGCTTACTTTAATCTGAGATTTTTATGCATATTATTTTCACTCATGGCCTCGATTTTTTGGCAGTTTCGTATATTGAATCCTTCGGATTGATCTTTTCTCTGTCAATAATAATACAATAATATAAACATTAAATATTTTTATATTGAATGTTTATATTATTGTAATAATATTTCTCTTTAATTTTTTTCGATGTTGATTTTATTTCTTTCCTTACGAGTTTTTTGGGGCTAGTATTTTATATTTTTGGCTTTTGGTTATAGTCTGCTTTATTAAATTTGATTTATTACTATTTGATTCTCTTGATTGCTTCTACCTCTTTTATTGTTCCTTAGAACCTTAATACATAAGTAATTATTATTCACTGTGCTGTGGAGTTAGCTTGTTTTTCCATGTTTTGTGCTTAAGTCTACTTTACATAATATAATTTTCATGCTACGCAAGATCTATGCAAGACAGATTATGTAACAATTCTCATGCTATGCAAGACGGACTTGCATAGCATGATAATTGCATGGTCTATGTAAAGTTATCTTTAGTAAGAAGGTAACTACTTTTATTATTAAATGTATTCAAATTACCTGATGGTCTAGGAGCCTCTGTAGCTCTTGTACGTGGAGCCTCTGAAATAAAAATATTATACTTAAATTCGTATTGATTATAACTAAATAAAATGAAATAATTTATAATCAACAGAGTAGTTAAAAAAATTGCTTTCTAAATAAAAATACCTATGCATTAGAAATGTTCTTAAATTTTTATTTCGGGTAAAAAATCGAACAAAATACTTTCTGTATTACCACTTATTTAGACGATGTTGTCTGTTTTAAATGTAAATAAAAAAAGGTATAGGTAAACAGAAATAAAATAAGACTTACTCACAATTAGTTTAATTTTACTACCAAGACGACCGGTTTCGCTTTCTACAATTTGCAAAGCATCTTCAGGTCAGTCGGTACAAAGTAAATTAAATGCTGAGATTATAAAAAGCTCATATTAGGGTGCTGTCTTATAAAGATAAAGATAAATTTACAGTAATTATGCCAATATTACATGTCTGTGTTTTAATATGGGTGTGCAATTCCTTTAACTTGTAATTATCAAATTTCTTTGATAAAGTTGAATTTGATTACTGTTTTGCTTTGCATATTGTAGAAAGCGAAACCGGTCGTCTGATAGTTAAATTAAATTGATTGTGAGTAAGTCTTATTTATTATTTCTTTACCTATAAAGATATATATTAATTAAGAACCCAAAAGAGACAAAATATATTGCAAAGACTGCAGCGCAATCACACTTCTGAATAATACACAAATAAATTAACTAAAATAAATTATAAACAACCGATTGACAGACAGTGTGAAACCAATGGTAAGGAAGGAATAAGCGTGATGTATACCAAACCGATCATGCATGGATCAAATTAACATACTCAGAGTAACCGTAGAACAGTCGCAGGAATTCAGCTCTCCGTTACGCTTCATATTTATTGTAGACTTTAAGAGAGCTTTCAAAATGTTTACACATATAACCGTATGAAAAGTACTATAGGAAAAAATAAATCTTAACAAAGAACTCTACAGTGATACACAAAGTCTAGCACAACGGCAGAACGTCTGACCCAATAGCTGTGATAAACGGAGTAAAACAGGGCTTTGTTTTATCCCCTCTACTACTATTTAACATTTTATGAACTCCGTACTAATACAAGTTTTATTTTTCATTTAGGAATTTACTGTGATTAACAAACAGACCGGAAGATATAGACTACGCCGATGATATAGTTGCTTAGCACATACAAAACAAAACATGCAACACCAAGTAACAAGATTACTAAAAATATTACAAGAAGAATCAAAGGTTGGTCTAGACATAAACTGTAATTGAACATAAATGTATAAATTGACTGTAACGGTGGTACAGACCTTGCTATACAGGAATGAATGAATAAGGCTCGTAATGTCTAAATGTTACCAAAAATCCTTTGTATATTTTGGCCTAATTGAATCTCGAATGAAAATGTATGGAATCAAACCAACAAAGAAAATGTCATAAACCATATAAGGCTAGGAAAATCTAGGTAGCTTGGCAACATACTCCGTAGACTCCCAGATGACATTGCCAGTACAGCGCTGGATCAGAATCCTTAAAGCCGACCTAAGAAAACTTGTAAAAGGACAATACTGGACGAAAGAAACGAAATAGGAAAATCCTGGCTTTAAATCAAATCACTAGCCAAAAATAGAGTTCACTAGAGAAGTTTCACAACAGAAGTTTTTTAACTACAATAAAAACTGCCAAAATCGAATACCTCAGTCACATCATGAAGAACAGCGACAGATATGGGTTGCTGCAATTAATTTTACAAGGAAAAGTAGAAATAACACGAGAACAGGAAGGCGAAGGATTTCCTGGCTGAAAAATCTACGTACGTGGTTCAACACAACAGCCACAAATCTTTTCAGAGCAGCAGTTTGCAAAATACAGATTGCCACGATTGTCGCCAACATCCGAAACGGATAGGCACTAGAAGAAGAAAAGAAAGGAGAGGTTTCGTGAAGAAATGTCCCCATGTAACTCTTAGGAATCTCTTTATTTATCCACGTTATCGAACTACCTTGTATACTTTTTATATGTATTTGATAATCCGAACTTTAGCAAAAAATCTAAAAGAAAGCAGTTACACTAATCTTGGGAAATATTAACTTACCTGTTGGAGCTGATGGATCGATTTCTGAAAAAAGAAATTATGTAGTTAGTAGATTTAATTAAACAACTATTATAGTTGATAATTTTCTTCATATTTTTAATAGTTTACGAGAAAATGATCAGTTTTTTGGTGCATCAAGATAATCGACTGGTAACTATTAAAAAAAAAATAATACCTCGATTGCTGTGAAATTATAGATATTGTTACGATAATTATGGCGTTTATAACTATCAATATATTATGACTAATTCTGTTTTCTGTTCCAGTAAATTCGAAGTTGTTTACAGAAACCTTTAGACCCTAATTTTATGAGTAATCCACGTCTCGAGGCTTTTCGAACAGTTGAAAAACGAGTCGAGCGCCTTCACCAAAATACGAGATTATTCAAGAAGTTCGCCGAACTTTCCAGATGACAACAGTTGTGTATATAAAGGAAAGATTTTTTATTTGGCAGTCAGTCATAAGAAGATCGGGAAACGCGGTTTACTTGTAACGAAACGTGACATAAATACATTTGTACAGCTATTTAATAAATTAGTAATTAGTTATCGTGAGTTTTAATAAATTAGAATATAGACAATAAATTAGAATAAAGACAAATAAATTAGAACTATATAAATATACAACAGTGGTGTCAGAAGTGGGATAATGGAGGCAAGTACATGTTGGTAGGAATGGATTACTTCACTAAGTGGGTCGAGATTTACGCACTTCCAGACCAGAAGGCGGCCACCGTTGCAGATAAGTTGATCCAAGAATATATCAGCCGATTTGGAGTGCCTTTGGAGATCCATAGTGACCAAGGCAGGAACTTCGAAAGCGATTTATTCCAAGGAATATGTGATAGACTAGGTATGAAGAAAACAAGAACTACGGCTTATCATCCGCAATCGGATGGTATGGTAGAACGAATGAATAGAACAGTTGGCAAGTATTTGACAAAGATGGTGTCCGATCATCAGCGAGACTGGGACCAATATCTCCGTTCTTCACAATGGCCTACAGATCTGCTGTTAATGAATCAACAGGCCAGACACCAGCCAGAGTCCTATTCGGACGCGAGATGCGACTACCTTGTGATCTAGAGTTTGGGTGTCGACCTGGAGAAGATGTAGCAGGTGAAGATTATGTGATCGAATTACGAAGAAGAATGGACGATGTACACGAGTTGGTCCGTTCCCATCTCCAGATCGCTAGTGACCGAATGAAGAAACGGTACGATACGCAAGCCGAAAAGGGGTGTTTTAAGAAGAACGACAAAGTCTGGCTTTATAATCCCAAAAAGCGAAAAGGTTGTTCCCCCAAGTTGCAACAGTTTTGGGAAGGTCCATACCTCATTATGGAAAAGATCAATGATGTCATTTATCGAATAAGCAAGATTCCGAGGGAAAGCCGATGATAGTACACCATAACCGGCTGGCGTCTTTCGAGGGTGACCACGACGTAGATGAAGAAGTGGAAGTAAACCAAGTCCAAGATGTGTCTGACCTCACGTTTGAGGAATTCATGGGTGCCTATGGAGGTACCGGTAAAGCAAGACATGGTGTTACCACTGAAGAAAGGCAAGATCTACTCGCGCTTCCCGATGACTACTCACTGGCCCTTACCATCCCGGCCAGTATCAAAGACGCACCAGGGTTGGCATCCGTCTTTCGAAGGAAGTTTGGTCGAGTTGCAGAACTTCAATGCCAAGTGCCAGCTCCTGGTAAAACCTTGAAACTCCAAGATGCATCACGTTACCTTTTCTACCTGGTAACAAAAGACACTGCCCGTGACCAACCTACCTACCGAGATGTATGGGAAGCCTTACTTCAGTTGAGAGAGCACGTACTAGAGTCCGACGTGCAAAAGTTAGCCATGCCAAAGTTAGAGTGCCACCAATTAGATTGGAGGGTTATTCGAAGTATGGTGGAGGAGATCTTTAGAGACACCGAAGTCCAGGTGTTAGTCTGTTGCAATCCGCATAGTTACTGGTGCGGAGAGAAAACCGTCCCTTGTCATTTTTATAAAACTGGAAGTTGTAAAAGAGGGTCCAGTTGCCGATACCAGCATACCGTTTCAGTTCCAGTCCCGACAAGGTTCCAGGAGGAACCATCTTTTAAGAGGGGGGCAATGTTACGATAATTATGGCGTTTATAACTATCAATATATTATGACTAATTCTGTTTTCTGTTCCAGTAAATTCGAAGTTGTTTACAGAAACCTTTAGACCCTAATTTTATGAGTAATCCACGTCTCGAGGCTTTTCGAACAGTTGAAAAACGAGTCGAGCGCCTTCACCAAAATACGAGATTATTCAAGAAGTTCGCCGAACTTTCCAGATGACAACAGTTGTGTATATAAAGGAAAGATTTTTTATTTGGCAGTCAGTCATAAGAAGATCGGGAAACGCGGTTTACTTGTAACGAAACGTGACATAAATACATTTGTACAGCTATTTAATAAATTAGTAATTAGTTATCGTGAGTTTTAATAAATTAGAATATAGACAATAAATTAGAATAAAGACAAATAAAGTAGAACTATATAAAATACAACAATATTTAAGAAGCATTACAGAAAAAAAATGAAGATATTAGCTTGAATAATTTTTGAAAATTTCATTTACTTATTTTTAATTATATATATATATATATTTATATATATATATATAATATATATATATAAAAGAAAAAAATATTCAGGTTTCCTTAAAGATAGAAAGGATAGGATAGGGATAAAGAAATGGAAATCTTAAATATTAACAAAAAAATTGAAATAAATCGGACATATTACACGTGGAGAAAGATACAACTTTCTCCAACTGATTATACAGGGAAAGATCCAAGGAAAAAGAAGCATAGGGATATGTAGAATATCATGGCTGTGCAACCTGAAAGAATGTTTTGAATGTACATCAAGTGAACTTTTCAGAGCAGCCGTTTCTAAAGTCAGAATATCTACGATGATTGCTGACCTCCATCGCGGAGATCGCACTTGAAGAAAAAGAAGAAAGATGGAAATTTAGAATCACTCGATTATAAGAAAGTTTTATTTTAATTTCTAACTATTTGTTGATAAGAAGCTTGTCAATATTAATATAAGAGATTATTTTGAGCATATTTTAATACTTACTGCAGTCAACATTCGATTTGTAATCACAATATTGTTTTTCTTGGTTCCACCATAGATCTGGTGGACATTCCATTATATTTGCCTTTCCAGCATAACACTCAATATACTCGGAGCAATTAGCTGGATCTGGATAGTAAGTTGCTTCATTTCCCGGTAGAGGACATTCAACAGCTAGTACAGCAGCTACAACAAAATAAAAAATATGTTGTCATGACAAAGTAATTTTAGGGATAACTAAAAACAGATTATATGAGCCGTTGAAAGCCAGAGTGGTAGAAGTCACAAAATTCCATTTTTGCCCAAATATCGACAAAAGCTTTATTGTACAGGAATCTATTTTCACACAAAATATGAAATAATTATGTTTGCCATTGTACCTAGATATTGCACAACTAGTTTACCTATTTAACGAAATGGTAATAGCATTGAAAGGCAATACAAGTCTGTAGATGCGTGACATATACCACTGTGGCGTTTAACAGATTTTAGTAGCGTGTTTGAAATCATTTTATTTTGAGAGCGACAATATCTGAAACATGAGTTCTAGTGAATCTGAAATAGAACCTTGAATATGAACCGGACAGATTGTATAATTCGAAATCATCATTATCTTCAGGTACAAATATTTATTGTTTACATTTAACAAAATACATAACCTCTAAATTATTTTAGATGAGAAACAAAATATTTTATCTGATGAGGCATCAGGTTCGCAAAGTCAGCAAAAAGTGGTACTTAATAAAAGGAAACACGTTGGAAAAAAGCGCTTTAGAGAACCCGAAAAACATTTCAAAGTAATTCGTAAGAGAAAGAGGAATACAGGACGTAAATATTACAGTACATCTGGCAAAAAAGTGCCACAAAAAGCATTTTCCAATACAAATTATAATTGCAGAAAAAAATGTTTTAACCGAATTAATGAACAGGAGAGAAAAACAGTATTTGAAAACTTTTGGAAAATGGGCGATTTTTCTGCACAAAATGCATTTGTTTCTGGTTTAGTTAAACCAAGTGCCATTAAACATCGACGTCCTCGTGATCAAAGTAAAAATAATATTAGAAGTACCACAAATATGTATTTTATAAATACTTTAAGTATTTCACACAATGTTTGTAAACAGTACTTTTTGCAAACGTTTCAAATTTCGAATGATCGACTTGAAAGAGAAATTCAACGTTCATGTGTTTCATCGCCTGCAGAAGTTTAACGAGGTAGGCATAAACCAAGAAATAAAATTCCTGAAGAACATGTTCAATATTTACGTGAACATACTGACAGTTTCCCCATGTACCACTCCCATTACACCCGAAGTCATAATCCGAATAGAAAATACCTCGATGTCAGTCTGAACATAAGAATTATGTTCAATCTTTATAAGAAAAATGCTCAACAGAACATATAAGTCCAGTATCGGCAGGAATGTACCGAAATATATTCCATCGTGATTTTAATCTACCCTTTCATAGTCTGTTTAAAGACATATGTGTGAAGTGTGATACATTTAAGGCAAAACTAGCGTGTATCACCAATAAACAGGAAAAGTCTGATCTAAAAACACAGCATGCGTTGCATCTGCTGAAGGCTGAAAAAGCAAGAACAAGTCAAGCTAATGACAAGCAATTGGCTATTGTAAATAGAGGAAAAATTTACTGTTTTATGTTCGCCCTAGAAAAGGCTTTGCCTTTTCCGATATTAAGCTGTTTCATTGCGTATTATAAAAGGAACATGTACGTATACAATTTAGGACTACACGAGTTGGCCGAAAAAAAAGTCTTTCATGTATGTTTGGGATGAGATCACTGCTTCCAGGATATCACAAGAAATCGGATAATGCATACGAAAACATGTTATGATATATGCAAATGTAGCAAAGCATATTATTGCTTACAGTGATGCTTGCGGCAGTCAAAATCTCAACTTCAAGCAGTGTTTGTTCTGGTTAAAATTAATGGCAGTTACAAATATTGAAGTAGTAGATCATAAGTTTATGGTGTCGGTCCATTGTCACATGTCGCGGCTAGGAGAAGTACGGTCAGTGTCGTGGTAATTTGACTATGAGGTGGTCTAACGAAGTTGTGTTGGAAGTTTTATTATTTTATAATTTACCCAACTTTTAACGGCGTACAACAGAGTTAACCCTCGATACTGACCATCGGAATGGTTCGACTACATTTTGGGATAGGTCGAGTGCATTTATCAAAAATCAAATAATTACTAATTTTACAGGAACGTGGGGTGCCAATCGTTGCTTCTTTTCTGATCGTTAATATCGATTTTCTGTTTCTTTTTGCGGACGTAAACCAGCGAAGGGCGCTATTCCACGATCTGATTCCGTCTTTAGCCACCATTGCTACGTTGTCAAAATTCTAGTATCAAAACTTGTGAAAGCAGAAGTGACTTTGCATCAGTCTGAATATTAATTCTTTATTTTGAAAATATAATCATGTTATTGAAAGGGCGTAACCGCAACAATATTACTAATTGTAGTTCTTTAACCGTATCAAAATTGTATAAGAGATCAAAATTTTTATGGTTATGTATGCGATCTAAATATTCTTTTAATAGTTGAAAAAATACTTACTACCAGCGGTTAGTCCAATAAAGCATAATGTAAGGAAATCTGAAAAATATAGGTACACATTAGGAATTAACGTTTATACTCAATTGATTGTTGTTGAAACCAAAACACGATCAACTACTACCCTTTCATGTTGTGTTTTTACATTTTATATATGTACCAATGAATAAATAAGCTCTTTTAAACTTAAGTACTACCGACCACGCTCACCATATCTTTAACCAAAATCATAAGGAAGTAAGAGTGAGGTGGTGCCAAGAATGGAACGAGTGGAATCAGAAATGGCATCGGGTTGTACATATTAAAAATGTAATTTAATGTTATGTGGAACGTGAGATATTAGGACTTACGGTCCGGATATCTTATGAGAGAACTTAGGGTTTGAGGTGCCATAATACCTAGAAGTAGGTTCTGTCTAGTATTTCTGGGAAGATACATGAACGTCCAAAGTTACACTCAGAACTTCTGGCTGTGAATTCGTTACAGTAAACTGGAGAGTTTACGGTTTTTCCGTGAAGCTAACGTAACCGTGTTTCCAAGACTTGCAACAATATCAGACCTTTTCAACAAATTATATGATAGAGATCAGTGGAGGAACTTGGCTTAGATCTATATCTGAATGATGATGAATGAATATAGGTTAAAAAGGAAGGTGTAATATTGACATTATCTGTATAAAAGTGGCCACGAACAAAGCAGATACATAAAATCTAATAGATATTATCAAATTTAATACTTCAAGATGGTTACTACAAAATAAACTTTAATTTAAATTGTCTAAACTATCTAAAGTGGTAGTGATAGAAATATATATAACTGCAATTGACAATTTAAAAATATAACAAAAATGATGCGCAATTTATAGATTAGAGCACTAAAAATATAATTGTCATTCTTTTTAAAATGTGTTATTCATTATTATTATTCATACACAGGATCTTCAATGAAGAACAAAATAATATATTGGAAGATAACACAGAAAACTCAATAAACTAGGAAGAACTAGAAGGAGCAATAAAACGTTGAGACAGGGAAAAGCAGATAAGAACAGGTTGACGTATGGAGTGGATAGAGTAACAGCAGAAATTATAAAAAACATGGGAAAAATGGAACACAAATATTACTAAAAATAATGAATAAAGTATGGAAAAATGAAGACATCCCGGTAGATTGGAAAGTATTACTAATAGTGCTCATATAGAAAAAAGGAGAGGGGAAAATGTAATAACTAAGCAGGATTGACATTGCTATGTACAGTTGCGGTCACGGAATAGTTTACACCTTACTTTTTATATTGTAATACTGTAAAATTGCAGTGTCGTACGGATTTGATAAATGTCAAAGTCAAAAAATTTCAAAACGTCAATGCTTTCGCGAGTGTTCAACAATAAAATAAAAGTATATTAAACTCTTCCAAAATGGTTAGAATACATTTGAATTATGCGCAAAAAGCAAGAGCAATTGCCAAACTCGAAGAAGGTTGGTCACTAAGGCAAGTTGCTGCTGATTTGAACGTGAGTCATATGTGCATATGGAAGATTAAACAAAGATGGGATAATTTTCACTCTATAGCACGGTTGGGCGGTTCAGGAGGGCAGAAGATTTCCACAGATCAACAGGATGAGATGTTAGTAGATTATTTGAGAGAATCTCCTTTTGCCACAGCTCAAAAGGCAAGAGAAGAGGCAGCGTTTCCAGGCAGTATTCGCACTGCACGTCGAAGAATTAAAGCAAGTGGACTGCTAAATTGTGTAGCTGCACGGAAACCTTTTTTGACTGAGGATCACAAGAGGAGACGAGTTGAATTTTGTAATGAATTTATAAACCGCGATGAGAATTTTTGGTCTAGGGTTGTATTTTCCGATGAAAAAGTATTTCAGTCGTATAATAATGGTCGAATAAGAGTTTATAGGCCGAGAAATCATAGGTATGATGAACAGTATACGCATCATTTAAGAAATAGTGGAGGATTCTCTGTCAACGTATGGGGATGGATAAGTGCCGAAGGCCCGGGCGTTTGTTATCATGTAGAGGAGAAGTTAACAGGATTATATTACAAACATATTATTGAGCACACAATGTTGCCATCGGTGATCCAGAGATTCCCCAACAACGACTTTATCTTCCAACATGACAATTGCCCGGTGCATACGAGTAGAATTGTTCGAGAATGGCTAGAAGAAACTGATGTTAATGTTCTTCCGTGGCCTTCCCGTAGTGCAGACTTTAACCCCGTCGAAAATGTGTGGGCAGAGTTAACAAAGAAACTAAATGAAAGAAACCTTAGACCACGGAATAGAATTGAATTATGGGAAGCAATTGAGCAGGCATGGGAAGAGCTTGTTAACTATAACATGAGGGGATTGGTGCTATCTATGAACAGAAGACTGCAAAATTGTATTGACAAGAATGGGGCTTCCACCAAATATTAATTATTATTTATCATTGTTTATCGTTATTTAATATAAAATAGATTTAAAATAAAATGCATATTAAAAAAAAAGACTTCTTTATTTTCGTTATTAAGATCATAATCCATTTTATTCAAAAAACTGTTTTCTATATTTTTCATTTTGTAAAATATTTTGATATTTTAATTTTAATCTACCTATTCTAGCTAGTACACCACTGGCAACGTCACTTTGACGTAAAAGGTGCGTTTAAACGAAGTAAAAATTTAAAAAATGGGCTCCTAGATACGTGAACCTGTAAACTATTCCGTGACCGCAACTGTACAAAACCTGTACATGTATGAAACTCATGAAAAAATAATAAACAAAAGATTAAGAATAGTGACAGAATATACATTAGAGGAAGCACAAAGTGGATTTAGAAGTGGTAGGTGTATATACGATCATATATTTACTTTAACCCAGATAACACAAAAAGTACTGCAAGACAAAAGGAAAATATACATTGCATTACTTGATATAAAAAAGCTTTGATAAAGTAAAAAGACAGAAACTATAGAACAAAAATTAGAGAAAGGAGAATCGATAACATGTTACTAAGAATGATACAAAAAATACGTTTCCATAAATGGAGGTTTAAGACAGGGAGGAGCACTTCTAGTTCCAATCTCTCTCTCTCTCTCTCTCTCTCTCTCCCTCTCTCTCCATCTCTCTCCAATGGCGCTACAGACCAAATCGGGCCTTGGCCTCCTCCAAACTATGCCTCCAACCTTGTTGGTCCCGCGCCGATCTTCTCCAAGTTCTCACGTGTAGCAAAAGTTACGCGTCTGCTGCCACTTCACCCTCCCATCTTTTCCGTGGCCTTCCTTTTGGTCTTGCGCCCTGCATTTTACTATCTAGGGCTCTTTTCGGCAATCTTTCTGTCTCCATTCTTACTACATGACCAGCCCAGCGAAGTCTCTGAAGTTTAACGAATTCTGAGATCGGTGTCTCTTTGAACAGTTGGTAGAGTTCATGGTTGTACCTGGATCTCCATATTCCGTTTTCGTTAATAGGTCCAAATATCTTTCTTAGGACTTTTCTTTCGAAGACTTCCAGTTTTCTTTTTGTCTCTTCTGTCATCACCCATGTCTCGCATGCATAACATACTATTGGTCTGATAATAGTTTTGTAGACCCTGATTTTCGATCTCCGGTGTGTGTTTTTGGAGCGGAACACATGATCGAGTGAAAAATAAGCTTTGTTTCCCTTTACTATTCCTCTTTGGATTTCTGGTTCTTCTGTTCCATCCGTGTTTAATGCAACTCCTAAATATGTGAAACTTTCTACCGTTTCAATATCGTCCTCTAATTCAACTGTACGTTTGTTTCCCCTAGCTCTTGCCTGTGTTAACTTTTTTGTCTTTTGAATAATTATTTCTAGTTCCAATACTATTTCTAATATTTATGGACGAAATTATTAGGAAACACACAACAAGGAGTAAAGAGCTGAATCGTTTCAACTAGGATATAGAAATCTGCAAAGATAACAAATCTCGGAAGGAGTCTTGCTGACGATTTGGTGCTAATTGCAAAAACTGAAAAAGAACTTCAGAATAATTTGGAAATATGGAAAGAAGTACTCACTAAAAACACTATAAAGATAAATATTAACAAAACAAAAGTTATGCAGACAGGGAAAAAAAGAGAAGAAATTAATATAGAAATTGAAGGAACTTACATATGTAGGAATAATAGAAGAAACAGGATCTCTAGAAGCAGAAATCAACAGCAGAATAGAGATACAACTGTATCATACAATGAACAAAAAATTGATATGCAGAAAAGAAATATCACGGAATATAAAAATGAAAGTTTTCAAAGCAGTTTATAGATCTGTTCTGACTTTTAGCAGTGAATAATTGGTTCTAATGGAACAGCAAAAGAGTAAGATACAGGCTATAGAGATGAAGTTTTAAGAAGTGTCAAAGACGCTAACAAAATGGATAGAATAAGGAACGCAGATATAAGGAACGAAATAAAAGTACAATCCACATTGGAGTTTATAAAATAGAGACAGCTGGGTTGGTGGCCACAAGAGTATAGGAAGCAAAAATAGTGAAAAACAAAAAAGAGGAAGACCAAGATAGACATGGGATAAAATAATTTGAAATATATTAGAAAGAATAAGTGTGACATGGACAAACGCAAAGATATTGACACGAAACCGCAAAGAATAGAAGAAATTTGTTGAGAAGTAAATTAAGACACCATTACATATATAGTAAAAAGGTTTTTGCTTAAATATATAAGTTCTTGGATCTATATTCCACATTTATCACAGAAATTTCAGATGAATCAGATGGTTTTTTCATGATACAAGAAATCATTTCGAATAACTTCTACAATGAAAATAATAACTTTTTAATTTAATTTTTAAATTACTTTTGTGTGTTGTCTTAAGATATTTGCAAATAGTAAAATAAATAAAAATAAACAAATAATTCATGAAATAATTCTTTTCCCAATACAATTTAAAATATCTCCAAAACTATTAAGTATAGGTATGCAGATACTTGCGACAAATTAAACTACATTAAGTTTATGATGGTGATACAAAATACAGGGGGTGATGTATTTAAGAATACTGAGCTAATAATGAATATAATATTTTTGAGCATATATATACATCGACGATATTTATGTTAAATTTTACTTACAGTTCATTTTATTGTGGCAAGCAATCAAATTTTCACGTGCAAAACAAAGCTACCACTTAGTTAAACTAAAAATTAAGCAGGAGTGTGGTATTTATACTAAAATACCTACTTCTAAAAACGAGTAAAAGCCTTTTCAAAAGATTATCAATAGTACTTAAACACCGGAAAAAAAATAATATGCATTTTAATCTAATCGTCAGCAGAGTTTTTCTGTTTATTAGTATATCTGAAGTGTATATTTCCGAGCACCTATTATGGTATTTATTAAAATAGTTTCGAAGAATTGAACATCCAGATAATCTCTCAAAGCCTAACAGGGTTACGTACAAAGTACACAGAGAAAGTAACAACAAAATATAACAATATGAAGAAATAAAAATATCGGGAACGGCAGAATTTACAAAACAGTCATCAGACCAATAATGACATACGCGGCAGAAATACGACCTGACCAGCGAGAACAAAGGATGTTAGAAACAGAGTAGAAACAAAACAGATTGATGGAAACACTATGGACAGATTAAGTATGTAATGACGTAGTTGCAAGGTGAACGACTGGATTAGAAATAGAAGACTAGAATGGAACGATCACATAAGCCGAATGACAACAAATAGAGTAGTAAAGAGGCAAGAGACGGTTCCAAAATAGAAAGACGATCAGTAGAAAGACCACGAAAACGATGGAACAAGAACTTACTGGAGGCACATTTAAAAACAGACAGAGTCATGTCTACGTAAAAAAAAGAAAAAGACAAAGAAGAAAATATAACAAGTAAACGATATAAGTTAAACGCGACGTTCTTCGTTCGGGTACATACATAAATGTAGAATAAAAAGGTAAAGGGAAGATTCTAAAAAGAAGACAGTAGTTAATTTTTCAATATGAAAGTCATTAGCCTACTAGAAACATTTCCAAAACTTTAAGAGTTTGTCTTTATAAAGATAGCTTTACATCTAAGCCATGCAAGTCTCATGCTATGCAAGTCCGTCTTGCATGGCATATCTCTTGCCTAGCATGATCTGTTTACTTCTTCTTTCTTCTTCTTCGGCTTTTCCCATTATGAGTTCGCCGTTTTCGTCCTCCACAGCATTCTATTCTCCCAGTCACTTTCTCTGAGGTCTCTATCTATCATAGCATTTCCTACGTATGTTTTCCATCTTGTAGCATGTCTTTTCGGCGGGTCCCAGTTTAATATTCTTTTCGGCCACCTATGCGTATGCCGGGCGCAAGGCCAAAAGGAAGGCCACGGAAAAGATGGGAGGGTGAAGTGGCAGCAGAAGCGTAACTTTTGCTACACGTGAGAACTTGGAGAAAACCGGCGCGGGACCGACAAGGTTGGAGGCATAGTTTGGAGGAGGTCAAGGCCTGATTTGGGCTGTAGCGCCATTGGAGAGAGAGATTGGAACTAGAAGTGCTCCTTCCTGTCTTAAACATCCATTTATTGTAATCGTATTTTTTGTATCATTCTTAGTAATATGTTATCCATTCTCCTTTCTCTAATTTTTGTTCTATAGTTTTTGTCTTTGTACTTTGTCGAAAGCTTTTTTTTATATGAAGTAATGCAATGTATATTTTCCTTTTCCCTTGCAGTACTTTTTGTGTTATCTGTGTTAAAGTAAATATATGATCGTATATACACCCACCACTTCTAAATCCACTTTGTGCTTCCTCTAATGTATATTCTGTCACTATTCTTAATCTTTTGTTTATTATTTTTTCATGAGTTTCATACATGTACATAGCAATGTCAATCCTGCTTAGTTATTACATTTTCCCCTCTCCTTTTTTCTATATGAGCACTATTAGTAATACTTTCCAATCTACTGGGATGTCTTCATTTTTCCATACTTTATTCATTATTTTTAGTAATATTTGTGTTCTATTTTTCCCATGTTTTTTATAATTTCTGCTGTTACTCTATCCACTCCATACGTCAAACTGTTCTTATCTGCTTTTCCCTGTCTCAACGTTTTATTGCTCCTTCTAGATCTTCCTAGTTTATTGAGTTTTCTGTGTTATCTTCCAATATATTATTTTGTTCGTCATTGAAGATCCTGTGTATGAATAATAATAATGAATAACACATTTTTAAAAAGAATGACAATTATATTTTTAGTGGAATTATATTTTTAGTAGAATTTCAATAGGAAGATGATCAGTAGGAAGACCACGAAAACGATGGAACAACGTACTGGCGGCGCATTGGAAAACATTGGAAAAAAGAGTCATGTCTACATAAAAAAAAGAAGAAGAAGAAGACCCTCTCTTATCTGCTGTGAGTGCTGTTAAGAACGATGGTACAAGCGTAAAACGAGCTGCTGGAATGTTTGCCATTAATCGTCCATTAAGTAAATACCACGTTAATTGAATCATTAATCTTAAATGTAAAGATGTTAATCTGCTTTACTTGTACCCAAAGACGAGGAGCAACTCATAGTACATGCATTAACCAAATTAGCAGACTGGGGATTTATATTTGATCGAATGCAAATAAAATTTTGTGTACAATATTACCTAAACCGTACTAACAAAAAATCCTTTTAAAAATGGATTGCCGGAAAAAAATTGGATTGCTGGTAACATATTTGTTTTAAATTTAAGGTGGATTTAATAATTAACAAGTATTTTTTTAAACTATGTTTGCAGGAAGGACCTATTAACTTGTACCTTACCAAGAATCGCGCTGAAGCCTGTTCTGATGAAGTGTTTTCAGCTAAGGGCGACTTTTATCGACACCTAAAAAACACTATTGAAAACAATGGTTTAGAAAATAAACCACAAAATATATTCAACTGTGTCGACTTTTCAAAGAGACTGATTTATAGGGTCAGGTATTTATCGTTTATATGACGGATAATGATGTAACACAAATGTGATCGGCGCACACGTTCTTTCCAGATCTACAACAAGAAGGAGTTGCTTCAATTTTTTCAGAGAAGTTACAACTTCAGGTTAATGGCGACTTTCAGTCAGACGATGTAGCATCTACCAGTATGTTTACTATACAGAAATATATTGAAACGATAAGACTACCAAAGAGAATTGAAATACTTCTTCTTCTTCTTTAAGTTCCATCTTCTATCGAAGGTTGGAAATCATCATGGCTATGCGGACTCTGTTGACTGCCGCTCTAAAAAGTTCTGCACTACTGCATTCAAACCATTCCCTTAAGTTCTTAAGCCAGGATATTCTTCGTCTTCCCACATTTCGCTTTCCTCGGATTTTGCCCTGCATAATAAGTTGTAATAATGCGTATTTTTGCCCTCTCATCACATGTCCCAAGTACTCAAGTTTTCGTCTTTTAATAGTTAATATTATTTCCGCCTCATTTCCTATCCTTCTAGTTACTTCCATGTTTGACATTCTTTGAATCCATGATATTCGTAGGATTCTTCTGTAACACCAAAATTCAAAGGCGGCCAACTTATTCAGATGAACTTGTTTTAGTGTCCAAGCTTCCAGACCATAAAGAAGAGTAGAGAACACGTAACATCGAAGCATTCTCAGGCGTAGTTCTAACCTTATATCCCGACAACAAAGAAACTTTTTAAGTTTAATAAATGATGCACGTGCTATTTCAATACGTGTCTTAATTTCTTTGGTTTGGTCTACATCTGATGTTATCCACGGTTCTAAGTATTTATAGTTATTAAAACTCTCAATTGCAGTATCTTCAATAGTCAATTGGATATTTGCATGTGCAGATTTAGTCATGATCATGCATTTAGTTTTCTTTAAATTTATCTTCAGTCCGTACTCATGACAGCGTTCATTAAGGCATTGCATTACGTTCTGTAAATCATTGTTGTTATCCATAATTATTACTGTATCGTCTGCAAAACGTAAGTTATTGCGTATATTGAAATACTATTATAAAAGAATACCTCAATCAACTATGGGAGCTTATCGTCTATGCTTTGCCTAGCTCAGTCTCTCAAGTGTGAATCCGTCTTGTCTTAAACTTATAATTAAACAATGAAAATCCAGTTGGTAACGAATAAAACAATGAATTACCTAATTATATTTATTTAGAATAAAACAAAATATTTAGTTTGCACAAACAAGCCTTGCCTAAAGCTTTACAATAAACAAATTTAAAACTAATATTTATGGCTTCATATGGTGGGCAGGGTTAGTTGTTGATGGCTCCTGATTGTGGTTAAATGGTCTTAAAGACAGCTGCAGTCTTAGTTAGTTGGATATGTGGTTAATTCATCATTTAATTTAAGAAATTATCTCATAATTTATTCCATAAATTAATTCAGAAACCCAAGAGATTTCTGTAGACCTAAAATGAACCTTATTCCATATTTCCTTCTTTTATATATCCCACCATGTTTAAAAGCTGATTGACCGAAGTTAGTGGGGAGTTCTACAAAGAAGTATAGCACAAAAACCATACAATATATATCTTGGATGGAATTAGTTCTTCTGTCAACATAGAACACATTATTTAGTCTACCAGACAGAAAGAGAGAGGGCACCAACTATTTTTTGAAGAAAAAATAGTTAAAAGGAAACTTAAGGTTAAGGAAATGATAAATTCATAAAGAAATTAAAATAAAATAATTATTTAAATATAAATACGTTTGTATCGTTACAATATGCCACCGAAAAAACCTTAGAACTTTCATTATTATCAGCACTAAACATGCAAGGAAAAAGAACAGAAACACTAAAACGGAATGAAGTTCGAAGAAAATATGCTGAATGTCTTACTAGCGCTGAGGAATTCGTTTAGAAAGCAATGCAAGAAGTTAGAAAAAAAAAAACAATAAAGAGTCGATAAAGACGAAAAAGAAAAAACTGTACCAAGTTCTGAGAGTGAAGTAAGTTTACGAATGGATGACGATTCAGTTTTAGATACGCCTCTGTTGGAAGATAAAAATGACATTTCCAATATAGTGAGAAAAACGAAAGAACACAATTCAGTCACAGTTGATAAGCGTAGGAATGAAATCCATCATTAGAAAATAGAAATTGTTTTCGAAGACATTGTAATGGTAGTTATTTTCCCGAGAAAAAAAAGAAAAATGTTTTGTATATCCTACTGTTGCTGACGAAGCCATAGTCTTGCTAAAAAATATAGTAAGGGTCCTGCCAAATCCTATAACTCGCTGTGGAATCTTCTTTTTCTTCTTCCATTTCGTCTAGCCATTCACGT